TTACTACATGTGTTACTACACAATACTTGTACGAGTATGTATTGTACAGACATAAAGTTTATTTAAAAGTTCGCTTGTTTAACAACGATTATTTATTACGATTAAATTATAACAAATGCACATACTTTTATATGTGTATATATGTAAATATGTATGTATGTCTACTATTATAAAATTTATTAATAAAAATTTCGGCGATTCCGATTTTTCCATCAAATACTGGTTACACCTTCATTGCTTTTTTAACACTAACAATTTTTTTTTTTTTTTTATCAAAAACAACTTCAGTCATAAACACCTAATATCCGGTATAAAAAACTCATTTCGCGTTCACATGATCTAATTCTCTCACCGCTCTCCACATATATCTACGTTGATGTGTGCGTATTTATAAGCTTCAGTTTGTTGTTGCTTGAATGATAACGCAAATCATTGAACGAAAGTGTTTTGCTTTGTTTTCTCGACCGCCTCTCAATCGCCTCTCAACCGTTTTGTGTTGTGTACTAATACAATATTTATGTGTGTGTGTGTGTTTGAGTATTTAGGGTGGCGTGATGTGCTACCACAATCAATTGCGCAGACAAAGTGATGTATGTATGTTAATTTCATATATATAAAGAAATATATATTATAAAACAATTAAAGGCAACAATAAATTTTGTTTTTAATTAATTTTGCAAAGTGCCCACACGTGCTTGTTGCCTCTTCGGGGGTGAAATTTTTGTTATTTAATTCCTATATTTATTTAGAATAATATTTCGCGTAACAAAACATAACAAAACAAAACTAAAAATATAAAATTAATGTATTATTAAAAAAAAGTTTGTCAGATACTCGCTTACTTCCACACAAAAAGTTTAAAAAATGGTTTTAAAAAAATTGTAAATAATTTTTATTTTCTATTTCCCTAAAAAAGGCCGGCGATTTTTCATACAGGCGGCGTTGCTAATTTTTTTGTATTTTTTCTTTCGATATTACAAGCTGTCACTTTTAGATTGCTTAAACAAAAAGTACGCGTAATTTTGCTTATATTTGTTCCAATGAATATATGCGAAAATGTAATTCTCAAATGATCAGCGAAGTGACACGGCTAAAGTGCTTATTGTTTGCAGGAGAAAATACTTACCTGTATGTGGTCCAGATTAAATATCTAACGATCTGATCTCTTTTGCATCTTCCCATCCCTGGTTTCTTGAGCGGCATGCACTGTGTTAAATTATGAAGTCTTCTATTTATTTTTCGTCTAATGTTAATTTAATAATTCACTGCGATCGAAATATCAAAACAGAAGAAAATAATAATAAATAAAGCATTTAAAAGTGTTTTTGATCAAACAGACTTGATTTTAGCTCAGATTCGGTATATTTTTTTCATTAATTTTCGTTACCCACCATTATTCGTTAGTAGCAAACGAAGCCCCGAAAGATTGCATTGCCAACTAGTTTTCTATTCATGTAAGCTAGATTTGCCAACTACTTGCAGTAATCATTTAAACTAAGCTAAATGCATAATAAACAAACAGAAGTAACTACATTCATATAAAGTTTGTTTAATTTTTTATTTTACAATATGGATAAGAGGCAGATAAATGAGTGATTTTATCTTTGTAAATACGCATACTAAAATAATTGTTTGTTTTTTGTTTCACCTGTTAACAGTTTTTAATTAGTTTGTAATGTCACCAGCGACAGACTTTGTTTAGACTGAAGTAAATAAATAAATAAATAGACAAATTAAGCTCAAGCAGATTAGCACAAAGTAGATAAATATATAATCTATATATAAAACGCATACAGGATAGGCCATTTAAAGTGGCAGCAATAATAACTTCTGACAAAATTGCCAGATCGACTAATCACATAACGCATTGGAAGCGTCATACCAAGACAAACAGTTCACACCAAAAAAAACGCGCTGAAATTGCTCAGCTTTATATTCAAAATAACTTCTCAATTGCAAGAACCAAAAGTGCTCTTCGAAAAAAACAGTTAAAAGTGCCCCCATGATCACGCTGTAATGTGTAATGGAAATGCGGTGTTTTTCACTGGCCCCTGAGATTCCACGTTTTGACGTCATCAGACTTTCTTTTTGGAGCTATTTGAAAGCCAAAGTATACTCTGATAAGCCAAGGATCATAGCTCAACTCAAAGCCAAAGCGACGGAAAACGCCGAAAAATGGCAAATTTTGTACTTAAAGGGTTACATAGGTCTTGAAGGCAAAAAAAAATCTTATTTTCTCCAATTTTTTCAATAGATACTAAATAAATTATACAATTTATTTTGTTTACATATAAAAGTATAATATTTGACAAATGAGTTGAAATCAAAGATAAAATATATCCTTCTTTCAGGGACTACAAAAACAAGCTTAAAAGAAATGTGGAAAACTTGAACTCGATTGCTCAATGGTCGTTGAGAAATTTTGACTACCGATTTCGATAAATTGGTTTTAAGAAAAACGCGTTTCAAGTTTCGTCATCGTCAAGCTATGATAAAGCCATGATAAAGACGGCGGGTTAAAACTTTCTATTTTTTGAAGGTTCAAGTACTATGTAACGTAACCCTTAAGGCCGAAGGTGGTCGCATGCGCGATATCATTTTCAAAATAAAAGATTTTGGAATTTTTTTTTGCATAGATTTCTTCAGAAACAAATAATTTCACTTTAAATGGCACACCCTGCATAAAATAAAGTGATTTTAGTGACTACGCTTATAACTAAAATAGCCTAAATCGATTTCGGTGACTCGCAAAAATTCGTATCCCACAAAAGTAAAATCGAAAAAATCTTATATTTTTGGTTCGACTTTCTTCAAATTTAATACTAATAAGTAGCTGTTTGCTTGGCTTATCCTTTTTCTTCCGGAGAGTATTTATGGTTTCTCTCATTTCAAATTCTTTTCGTACCAGGACCGGTTTATTTAAGACAATATAAATTTCTATTTATGTAGTGAATGACAAACCGCAGCCTGATCTATCGCTGTAAAAGATCTGAATCTTGGAGGGTGAATTCTGTGTTCGATTTATATGGTGGCTCTATTTTTTCTTCCGCAAAGTGGATCTGTGAGCGATCTATTTGGAATAATAATATTTACAGTTAAATTTCCTTAATATTTGTACTTGGAATAACAAATAGAAAAGCTTGTGAACTGGGTAAGCACGTCAATGTATATTCCAAGCGATAAAATAAAAATATTAAAATAGAATCAATCAATGTTGTAATGAAACTTTGACTTAAATGGAGTATAAATACTACAGACCATTCGCCGAAATCGGTAAAATAATTGCGCCAACGTCCTTCTCAAGAATAATAAAATCCACCATTAATATCCATGATCTTATGTCATTTTTTTGGGTTGCTTCATATTTCCATGATTGTAGAACTTTTTGGTTTTATCGGCGAAGAACTTGGGCAGATGGTTTTGAACCACTCTTAAGTCGGCTAATTTTTTACCATCCAGTAGATTTTTCAGAGATCGAAACAAATTAAGCAAGGTCCGTTCTATATATGTATAGTGATTGCCTTAAGACTTCCCATCGAAGATGTATGTAATCTGGGTCGTCATGACGAAACGCAACACCGTCTCTATTGATCAGTTCTGGACGCTTTCTTTGAAGAGCTTCTTATAAGCTGGTTATTTATTGACAGTAGAGCTCAAAATTGAACGTCCTCCAATCCTGCTATACACTCAGCATCATCTCTTTGCCACCCATTCAGCCTTTAAAGTCGTTTGTGGAGAGCCAACGGCCTTTTGAGCATAGTTTTTTTTCATTCCCATTTTTTCATCGCCTCATAATCAGTGGCTTCAATATTGGTTCGATTCGAACTGTTTTCAATTCAGCTGAACTGAGCTTAATTTGAGTGAAATTAGTTTTTGGCGTAACCTATTTGAGTTGAGTGTAGTTGGTTTACATTGAGTTGAATTGATTTCTTTTCAGTTCAGTGGAAAGAAAATCAGGCGATTTTAGTTTGATTATATTGATTTACTCCAAATTGTTTACGAGTTATTTGAAAAATTATTTTTTTATGAGTTAAGCGGAATGGAAATTGAGGTTAGTTTAATTGAAATAAATTTGATTGGGTCGTAAAATCGTTTTTTTTTTTAATTTAGTTGAATTAATTCATTTTATTTATTTACATTTGAATTGAGTAAAAGTAGTTAAGTTCAACTGCTTACTTTGATTTGATTTGATTAAGTTTGGTGTCGATTTGGTTAAATTGAGCTTACTTTGAGTTAGTTCAACTGGAGTAAAATTATATTAAACTGGAATTTGGTTCATGGTTTCGATTTAGTTGGATTGAGGTTAGGTTAATTGAGTGGAATTGAATAAAGTGGAGTTGAGTTGTTTTAGATTGAGTTGAATTGATTTTTTTTAGTATTCAGTGAAATGCAAATTAGTCTTTTTTATTACGGCTGGATATACTTCAATTTAGTTTCAATCGTTCGTTCAATTGAGTGAAATTTATTTAATGGAAACTGATTTTAGTTGAGTACAATTTTTTTTATTAGTTAAGCGGACTGCACTCTGTTTGAGTGTAATCAATTTTAGTTCCTTAAAATTTAATAGAATTTGTTAACATTATTTATTTATTGAATTGAGTGACTCTGATTTGAGTCAAATTGACTTATTATACTAAGGTCATTGATTAAATCTGATTTTAATTGAGTTATTTGGAGTTCAACGCCATGACAATCTAAAGGCTGTCGCAGTAAAAACTTGAACTTTGAATGCAACGTATTTAAGCTAATCACAATAATTAAATTAAAAATTTTAGTAATTTTCGCAATTATAAAAACATTTTTAATTTCAATAAAAATTTTTTAATGGAAAATAAATACTTTCACAAAATGTGTGACCGCCTATGAACCCTCTAGTTCAACGTATTGTAATTAAAATATTAACACTATTAAGCTGACTGTTTTGTTTCTTTTTTTTTTTTAAATTTAAAATTTAATTATTAACTTACTAAATCTACTTGTTTTTTTTTTCTTGATTGCAGATCAACTTTTTAATATGCCAAATTGGCGCACTCTTCCTAGCCTCGCTGTTTCGCTCCATCCTACATCCGACCAGAGTATCAGCACATGTGCGTCACATTTTCGCGCTAACGGTTGGCTTGGCCTTTGGCTATTTTTGCTTTGGACCACAAGCCATACATATTGCCGGACTTCCAGCCGTTTGCTATATTGTCATAAGGACACAGGATCCACGCGTGGTGCAGCGGTGAGTAGCGAAACTAGTTCGTATATAATATATTATATATAGATATGCATTTAAAATATATGTATGTATATATGTATACCTTATGTAGGTTTCTTTATTTCAGCGCAAGTGCATAAATAAATATTTACTTTTATATTTTTTTACGCGCTCTCCCTTCTTCTTATGGCACTTTGTGTTGCATTTAAAATTTTTTTGAATATTTGCACTTAAATTCTTTTCTATGTACATGCATATATATATATTTATAAAATTTTCCACTTTCTTCCAACTCAGAAATGTTATGCTCGTCGCCATGACTTACTTGCTGTGCATCCATCTGATTAGACAGATCTACGATTACGGCTCCTACTCGCTGGACATCACCGGCCCACTAATGATAATTACACAAAAAGTAACAAGTTTAGCGTTTAGCATACACGATGGCTTTGTGCGTCAGCATAAGGTGAGTAGTGACAACAACAACAACAATAACAACAACAATGAAAACTAACTAGAAATCTGCACGTAGTTATAAATCTGCTAATGAGACCGACAGGATGTACGAACGAACGGACGTGTCTGTTTGGAAAGTAACAAGCAGTGAAGAGTGAGTTTTGCGTGCTAGTATGTTTGTGTGTGTGTGTGTGTGCGGAGAACTTGTGCTCTCATTTCGTTTTTTTTTTATAAAAAATAACCAAAATACAATAATTTTAAGGTAGTTTCATTATGTCTATGCAGTCGGCTTCATAGCTATCTGACATTAAGGGGCACACATAGCGAAATGGCCTAAAAAAAAGGTGATTTTTGTGAATATTAAAAAAAAAATACTTTATCAATTATTTCAAATTTTTAAGAATATATTTATACATGTTTCAAGAATATACAGTGAAATTTTTGATGAAAAAAATTAAATAGTTTTTAAGTTACAGTCGATCTCCAACGGCGCGAAAAAAATGGTCCTTCACGGTTGCAGTGATTCCGGCCTTCTCCGTGGATGAAATCTAAAGAAAAAATTTCTCTACTAGATAATATTGTCTGTACAATAACCTACGATAAAAAAAAATCAAAAATTGACAATAAAAAATAGTCGAATTTTACCCAAAGCTTTTGGCCTGCCAAAAATCGATTTTTCGATCAGATCAAAAATCGATAGGCCATTGTACGGAGAACTATATATAGAACATATAAAAAAAAAAATCGATAGTCGGATCATTTGTTTTTGAGTAATCACTGCAGCAAATTCGGAAAATGCTGCTTCGAAAAAACCGCCTTTAAAGATAAAATGATCGTTTTCACTCGTGGCTAATGAGACTCTCTAACTGCTGAGCGGCTGCTCTTTAAATTGCGATAACTCAAAAACTATTTGAGATATCGAATTGAAATTTTAATAAATTATTTTTAAAAGTGTAATCTAACGAAATATGAAAAAATTAAATTTTACACTAAGTGTGCTCTTTAAGAATGCCTAAAGCTATGCTAATCAATTGAAGAAGAAATTTTCGAGAAATCGATAACAGACCGCAGAGTTGACCGTGGTTATCACTAGCCCTATTCGGTCAGCTCATCAACCTTGCAGTTCCCTGGGTGCCCTTATGACCAGAGCCCCAAACCATGGACTTTTGGTTTATAGTTGAGAAAATACAAAAGCGTATTCGAAAAAAATGAATATTATATATCTATCTAGAAAATCGTTTTCTTACTTTGGCTTGAAACAAATATTTTAATAGATCCATACGTGTATGCAAGATTATAGTATCTGCTTAGAAGATAACCCCAAAAAAATAATGTGAAATTCTCCAGGTTAAATATTTTATAAGTGACAGGATCAAACATTCCTGAGCAAATACGTTTAGTGTCACAAAATTTCGAAGTGAAACTACCTTAGAGAATTTTTGTATCATGGAAATAAATGATTTCATTTTTATTTTATTTTTTTATTTATTTTTAATTTTTTTTTTATATTCCTTTTAATCACTTTCTTTCATTTTCTATCATTACAGGACCTCACCAAAGCACAACAATATCATGCCGTTTATAAGTTACCATCGGCGCTTGAATATTTTTCATATGTTTTACATTTTCAAGGCCTATTGGCCGGCCCATTGGTATTCTACAAAGACTACATTGACTTTGTTGAAGGTTACAATTTACTCAAGCGACCATCGACCAATGTAAGTGGAACAAGTTCATACGTAGCTCATTTGTTATTTACATATTTACTCAACATACATATGTATATGTATATATGTATGTATGTGGAAAGGTGGATGTATGATGAGTAGATGTGTCTGTAGGTAAAACGCTATGCTACTTGAATTATAATGAAAATATAGTTAAGAGCGTTTGCGGTATACAGTGCGTGGCAAAAAGACAGTAATAATCTAGAAATCATTAAAATTAAAAAAAAAATGTATATTTGTACATATATATATTAATTGTCAAGCTATTAAATGCAATGTAGACAAGTGTCAATGATGACTCGGCTGGATTTCTTAAGCGGAGAGTTAATATACATATAAAGCGTCTCAATTAGTCTCCTTAAGAACCCGAAAAGAAGTATTTTTTTTAAATAATTTTTTAAAAATCTAGAATTTTCAAAAAACAATTTTTAGTATAAAAAAATATTGGAATTTTCCAATTTATGAGTTTTATGAGGTTTCTGAAGCGTCTGCAGTCTGAACTCGTGAAACGCTGCCGGTGATGGAGGTCGTCGTGCGTTGAATCTGAAACAGTGGTACCATTTTTTTTTTAATTCTTATAAGCATCTCTTCTATATGATCTAAACAACGGAAAAAGTTGGAGAATTCCACATTTTTTCGAAGTGTAAAAAAAATTAAAAAAAAATATTTTACTAGTTGCAAAAATAATAAGTTTAAGTAATAATTTTTTTTTTAAATGGGAGCTAATTTAATACTGCAGCTATATCACTATGATTATTTTCGTTCGGGCATAAATTCTTTTCCAGCATTTGTTAAAATGAAAACTCGAAAAAAACGCGCTGCAAAATTTTCGGTCGAGCATTCGAACCTCAGCCAAAACTGTTCTAGCTTCTAAAATATGTCAAATTGGCAACTGGAAGACATATTCTTGAATAGTTTTAGAATAGATTTAAGAAGAAAATCCATTTTTGAGACCTTTAAAGTAGGCAGCTGCTGCTATAATCCCTGATTGCAGGGACCAAAAAAAATGTTTAATTTTATTAATTTTCTCTTTTGAAAAACTTTGGTAAAACATTCAACTTTATCAACTAAATATCACTTTATTTTTATTAAAAATTTTTTTTTTATCGAGGAAATGTGATCGAAAATAGGAAGGAAGTGCTATCTTCGGACATGCCAAAGCCCTCAATAATAATAATATTTTTTATTTTATTTCATTTCATTCTTTTTTATTTTATATTACTTTATGCTATTTTGTTTTATTTTATTAAATTAATAATTTATTTAATTTTTATATTCTTTTTTTATATATTTTTGAATTTTTTCAGGTAATTTTTTTTTAATTTTCTCAATAATTTTTTTTTTTTATATTTTATTTTATTATAAATTTTAACTTTTTTTAATTTTTTAATTTGTTTTTATTTTATTTCATTTAATTTTTTTCATTAATATTATTATTCTTTTTTTATTTTTTTATATATTTGGTGTTTTATTTTTTATATTACTTTATGTTATGTTTTCTTTAATTTTTTTATTTTATTTTATTATATTTTTCATTTTTTTTTCATTAATTTTTTTATTTTATTTTATTTATTTTTTTTATATTATTTTATGTTATTTTGTTTCATTTTATGATTACTTATTTTATTACATTTTTTCATTTTATTTTTTTTTTTAATTTTTTAATTTGTTTTTATTTTATATCATTTTTTTATTTAATTTTTTTATTTTACTTATTTTAGGTTTTTATATGCCAAATTTTATATTACTTTATTTTATTTAATTTTTTTTTAATTTTATTATATTTTTAATTTTGTTATTTCATTTAATTTTTTTATTTAATTTGTTTTTATTTCATTTTATTTTATTTTATTTTATTTTTTAGTTTTATATTAATTATATTTTTTTTTCTTTTATTTCATATTATTTGTTGTCTTTTTTTAAATTTTATTGATCGTTTTGTTTAAAGGGAACATTGTCCTGATCAGTACCATCCAATTCTAGCCATAATAAACGGTAATCATCTCTCGATCGCGCAATCCATTGCTCCTCAATCCATAGCAAGTGTTGCTCCAGATCACGCCGGATCATAAAACGCACAAAATAGTTTCACCTTGAGGATAGATAGGCATTTCAAAAACATGTTTTGGGTTTTCCGAGCCCTAAACACAGTTCTACGTATTGATGTTACCAATTGAGATGGAAATGCGGCTCCTCAGTCAAGATGTATGACCGATGAAACTTCGATCATTTTCATGCATTTCAAGAACCCAATCAGCAAAGACACGATGTTCTTGTGTTAACTGAACTTAATAAGCCTTAAGACCCAAGATTTTTGCAAAATACGATGTTATGACGTTTTTGGATTTCCGAATTCCAACACTTTGGGCTACAGCACACACGTGTACCAAATCTTTTTTGACTAATTTTTAATCAAAAGCCTCATATCTGAGTAAATCAGGGGTTTTATAGTCCTCCGATTTCACTGACTAATGTAAAAATCAGTCGTATATATGTACATATAGTAGGTATATATGTTGAAGCAGTTCGATCTGGCTGTTCTCATATGCCCATGAGAGGTGTATATTCGTAATTGTTCAGAATATTGATAATCTTTGTCCGAAGGTAAAGTGCTATCTATCCGACCTTCCTCCCACCAGTTGAAAAATAAGTACCGACTTGAACTAAATTTGAAATTTGGGTGCAGCAATACTCCGACAATAAACGATCCAAAGTTACTGGAAGTAGCATTTTACAGCCTGTACTCCGCATACGAAAACGATTACTACTCAGACGATCTCTCTGAAGAAAGGAAGCCTCCAGACGTCATCTGTACACCACTTACACAATGAAACATCTATGTTACCTCCTGAGGAGCGTGATATTTTGTTGTATTAGCACTGCTACTAGAAGAGACAATCCGTAGAGACCTCCAGTGGTATCAGAACCACTATTTGAGCACATCAGGAATACCATGAAACTTGTGTAGTCCACTCAACACCAAGGGCAGAACAGGATATCGGCAAGCCCTAAACGCCGACATACACACAAACTCCGTCAGCATCTTTATTATTCCGAGAATAGCGGATATTCGGAAACCAAGAATTGTAAACGAAGTGCTCTAGCTGCCCCTCGAGCTCCAAGTAATGATGGCACAATTAAGATCTGGATAATGGAATAGACTCGAAACCTACCTTTCCGATTTCACACCGAGCCACGCACGCCACTAAACATCCTTTTGCAGACTCTTTAAGCTCTCTCATTCAACTTCCCCTGGTCTGAACCCATCGAATGAATATCTGGTCAAAGTCCAATCTGTGTGTTGATGGTGAGTTTAATCATTCACATGCGATATTGAGAAAACTTTTACGATAGTTGGCGGAGATTTTGCAGTCCCTAAATTTGATGTTCATCAATCGGCAACTACTCCGAACTGAGACAGGGTCGGGATATGGAACGTCTGTTTTATTATCATCGTTAAAAAATCCGAGTTCCATTGCCTCTTGATCTGAGAAGCCACGAATTGGCTTCCCTTAACTAAATTCTCCAACATTGCTAATTCTAATTTCTCTAAATCGTCAAATAGTCAAATTGGGGTTTGATAGATACTCGTATTGGAACCATTTCATGTATATATATATCATAGATATATATATATATATATATATATTTACATATGCATTTATTATCTACATATGCTATACTTTTGCTTATAGCATCGGCTAGCCGCAATCAAAGCTTTGCTGCACACATATGTAAATTTGACCGCTGGTCAGGCATTTACAAGGCATACGAGGGGTTTGACAAATGTTCGGTCAGTTGGTGACTTTCAATTTGTTTTTGTTAAATCTAAAAATACAAAATCCTTTGCAAATACTTTATTAGTCTTCCTTTCAAGTTTCCGAAAAATCGGCTAAAATGAAGGCGAACAAACGCACGATAGCTGAAGTTAGGTCAGACGAAATTCCACCACCAACGCAAGGGAAAACTCTCCATGTAATTGTCTTCGGGTTTCGGCGTAATTTACAGCCAATACAAATATTCAGTGAATGCCAAATTGCATGTGGAACCATTGCAATATCTTTAAAAACAATTTCTAAGTGGTTCCCAAGATGCCAGACCAGGCATCTTTCCGTAGAGGACGAGTACCGAGAAGGTCAACCAAAAAATTTCAATGATGACTAGCTCTGGTGAAGTGCTAAATTGACGAAGACCACAAGAATTGATTGGTAATGAATTGAACTTGAATGCTATGGCTGTATCGCGAATATTAAGTAATCATCTGGGATGCACGAAGAAATCTGCTCGATTGGTAGCACGAACTTTAAATGGGGCCTAAAAAGTGGCTCGCGTGCATTGTGCACTATTTTTTCTAGACAATTTCGAAAAATTCTTTACTGGTGACGAATCCTTGTTCTATAAGTATGATACAGAAACCAAACAGCAAACATGGTATGCAGCCCAGTAGGAGCAAACCCACCATTAAAATCTAAGTAACAAAAATCAGTAGCAAAAGTCAGATGTCAGTTTGCTTCACCCGATCTCAAATCGTAGCTGCTACTCCACTGGAAAAGGCTCAGACGGTAACTGCAAAATGGTGCACCGAAGAGTGCTTATCAAAAGTTTTCAAAAATATATTGGAAAACAGGAAGAGAGAGGATTTGCGGCGCTACTTTTTACATCAGGACAACGCGCCATCCCACACGGCTGAAATAACGAGTAATTTTATGTGCAGGCCCCTATTTCCCGGATATTGCACCTTGCGAGTTCAGGTTATTTTCAAAATTAAAAAAAAAAAACTGAAAAGAATAGGTCTTTAATACCAACGAAGAGATAATTAATGTGGTCAATTCTGTGCTTAATAAGCTTAAAAGGCAATATTTTGGAGACTACTTTCAGAAGTGGATCTGTAGGCTTAAGAAATGTTTTGAAATCAATGGCGAATATGTAGAGAAGATAAAAAGGGGCAAATATTACGATTACATACAAAAATCATTTTTTTTTTTTGTCAACTCACCGAACTTTTGTTAATCCCCACGTATGTATGTTTTTATTATGAAGCATAAAGCGCGATATATCGGTTATAAAGTCAATGGAACTGTTGCAAGCAACGAGCCCGACATATATACTTCCACAAACATACATACCTACATATATATATATATATATATATATATATATATATATATATATATATATATATATATACATATATATGTGAGAAGGATAAATATTTTATGCAGAAATAACGCACACACAACATACCTCATACACACATACATACATACATAATTTCATTACTATTTCATTTCTTCTCTTCTTCTCCCTCTTCTATTACACAGGGCAATTTAGATAATGGCAAATCAGAATTGGTACTAGAACCTTCACCCATGAAGGCGGTCATCAAGAAAGTCATCGGTAGCATGGTGTGCGCATTCATATTTATGAAATTCGTAAAAATGTATCCCGTTAAGAATATGAAAGAGGATGACTTTGTAGCGGGCACCTTGGTGCCGTATAAATTCTGGTATGCCATGATGGCTACATCGTGCATACGCTTTAAGTATTATCACGCATGGCTATTGGCCGATGCCATATGCAATAACTCGGGTCTTGGCTTCACCGGCTATGATAAGGATGGCAACTCGAAGTGGGATTTAATATCGAATATTAATGTGCTGGGATTTGAGGTGAGTTTGTGCTGAGCAGTCTGTATTAAACAAATAATAATAAAATGCTTTTCTCCTCTCTTGCCCCCCTTGTAGTTCGCTACCAATATGCGCGATGCAATCAACAATTGGAATTGCGGCACAAATCGCTGGTTGCGCACCATTGTCTATGAGCGTGTGCCGAAAAAGTATGGCACTGTTTTGACATTCGCTTTGAGCGCTGTCTGGCATGGCTTCTATCCCGGTTACTATGTGACATTTGCCACCGGCGCTTTGGTGGTCACGGCTGCGCGCTTGGTAAGTGCTAGACATCGTGTTTCTTTATGTTTAATAAAATTTTTGATTTTACCTTATTTAATTAATCTCTTTAGGCTCGTCGCATGTTCCGTCATCGCTTCCAACGCACCCAGTTTACACGTATGTTCTACGACATACTCACATGCCTGACTACACGCCTAGTAATGGGTTATGCAACATTCCCATTTGTTCTGCTTGAATTCATGGTAAGTTTGTATGTTAAAATGTAAATTTAGTAGCCTAGGGAAAGAGGAAAGAAAATGGGGAAATTCGAAAATAGATGACCTCCTTACAAAATAAATTTTTTTTTGGTATTGAGCACACTCTCGAGTGTACCTCGACCCGAAATAGAAAATCTTCTCATCTTCTTTATTGGCGAAGACACGTCAATAAAAACGCGCTATTCATTCCTTCTTCTCTTTATTTGGCGCCAAGTGAAATTACCAAGTACAGCCAACTCCTTAACTACCTGGTCTTTCCAACGGAGTGGAGTTTCTCTCCCTATGCGGCTGTACCACATTGCAACCTTTCAAAGCTGGAGTATTCTTATCCATTCGGGTTACATCAAAAAAGCTTATTGAATTAAGAGACATTCACTGAACTATGTCAATGTCGGCGTATATCTTCCCATCGACTGCAATAGTCGCCGTACCCAAGCCGCAGAGGATAATAAATCTTTTTCCAAAAAACTCCCTACTCATCAGATGTTGTCATCGTCCATGCCTCCGCACCATGTGGCAGGACCGGAATGTTGTTGAAGTGAGCGAGCTACTGCAGTCGACTTATCGCACTGAATCCTTTGGTGGATAAAATTCAAAAGACAAATTAATGTCTTTTGAATGAATGAATGAACAAAGCCAAAGTCTGCATACCACATATTCGGCCTGAGTTCTACCTTGGCTGCAAGTGCAGATTACTTCACCACAGACTTAACCACTCTAACGAAATTCGAGGCGTGAAAACTGTTTGTAGTTGTTCCACTGTAAAGGTCAAAGAAACCCACAACCAAAAGTGTCACCTCGATGCCTCTTCTTAGACATGAGGACACTAGGGGCCTTGTTGCTCCCGTCTTTCTGGTACTCGTATCTCTCGATGCAGCTCGAATTCTTGGTATGCAACACATTGTGTTTGGATTTCGAGAAGAAAGTTTATGAAGAATACAAAGAATTTCTTCCACTGCAGCAAACCGTAAATCAAGTCTACTATCGCCAAATACTCGAAAGATTGCGAAAACGGGTCCAGGCAGCGCTCGTAACTGGATCCTTTATCACGCAAACGCGCCGTGCCACACCGCCCTCAGCGTGTCTCAGTATTTGGCCTCTAAAGGGATTGCAGTATTATGACAACTGCGTTATTCGTCTGATATGTCACCCTGTGACTTGTTTTGGTTCCTGGAACAAAATCGATGGTCAAAGGAACCAATTTTGAGTTGGTTGCAGACATCAAAGCGGCCGTGACGAGAATGATCGCGGACATGCCAGTCGAAGTGTTTCAGAAATGTTACAAAGCATGGAAAAAGCGCTGGAATCGTTCGTGGAATTTTGAAACATATAGTTTTTATGGAAACAGTATTATTACTTAATTGTCACACCTCGTAGCTTTTCCATCTGCATCTGTCTAGTCGCTGACGTGCGAATCGGAGCAGCGTAATCTATAATCAGCCGACTAATTGTCACATATCTTCCGAGCAATGATTCTTTATCTTTACCTCAACTACCGCCGGCTAACGGTTTGAGGACTGCTTTGTCGCGTTCGAGGAAGGTTTCGAAAACAATTTTTGAAAAGTGAACGGCTATCACACTGAAACTTTCCCTATATTCACTGCCACACATCTAAGATTTATTTCAGTTGTGCCATTCAGTGTGACACATTTTACCAGCCAGACGAAGGAGTGCCGACTAGAACTAAGTGTTGGCAATTCCAAATGTTACTAGGAGTGACAAGGTTTGCAGGAGGTTACCATCACTACCCATACGTTCTTAATTATTACTTAAGTACAAATCCGCATCAAAATTCTCAAGTCGCTTGCGGTAAAAATGTAGGGGAAAGGAAAAAATATTTTTTTAAACTCACATGGCCAATCGCTCGGCCGGCCAAAAGTTGTGCTGCATCGATTTGGACGCCAGCTACTGGCGGACGCAGTTGAGTTAGCTACGGACCAGCAGTCAAACTCAAATGCGACGTACGTAGGTCCAACAAGCAATGAGTTCGTCTCTGTGGCCTTGTGCTGCCTATGGTGGCTAGTATGTACAGGTACTTTCTGGCAACGGTCTAGTTATGTTCCACAGCCCACTTAAAATAGCCACAAGTAACATAATATAGCTACCTCTCTTATAACAGACATTCTTCTTATGACTGGTATGTGGATTTATGATCTAATATTTAGGGAAATCATCGATTGATGGATATAATAGTTGATGGTGAGTACCAAACAGCTGCTAAGAAAATACTCACATTGGACATGGATCCCACCAGTCATATATCCGCCTATGAACGTTAATATAAAAATCAGCCGAGTGTCTAATGCTCGGTTCCAATTGAACTTTGTCTCCTCTACTTTTTTGTTGACTTTAAAATGTTATTATTCAGAGGCTAAGAATATAAAAAGATATGAACAATCTTATCTCAAGGCCGTTTGGGTCACTGTAATCAATGGTGTAAGAATGTATATACATATGTACATGTGTCCAGGGCCTGATTTCCGGTTATTTTTATAATAATCAATGATTTTAAAATTACATACAAATGTATTGTATATATGTACATATTAGAGCTCAAGACTTTGTTCGAACATTTTCCAGCTGCTCGAGCATTTTAGCAACGAGTACTCGCACACTCGTTTATTGTCAGCATAAGACCGATTGTCGTTATGCCTCTCCCATAGAGAAACCCTTAGCAAATAATTGTGAGAACCGATTTTCATAGGCCGCTCTCGAGGCCAATTCTTCACGAGCCAAATCATTCGCCATTAAAAGGAACAGATTGTAATTACTTGGTATGAGACTCGGACTCCAAGATCGAAGAATAAGAGCCTTCCTACAAAACCCTTTGAAACTTTTGTCGAGTCACTATCGATGTGTGTCTAGCGTTATTCTGATGAAATACAATTCCCCTCTCGCTATCCAAAGCTGCGTGCTTCTGTGTGATTGCTTCCTTCAGACGATCCAATTATTGACAGCAGTCAGCTTTTAAAGTTTACATATGTCCGGTGGCGCGCAAAAAAATGTGGGTGGTGTGGGGTGGTCATGATACCAGCCAGAGCAAGAATCGCATTTGACTGAGGCCGTGTTCCGATGTACTGTAGTCTGACACACGGCACAGACTATGCGGCGGACTAAGTAAGAGCTGCTGAGTAACCCTCGCACTTGAAGAGGTAGAGAGCTGGTTGGTATAGGGATGGGGATTGGTGGGAGTCATGCTGCGGGGAGCTCCTTGAGGCCGTAGAGGTCTGTTGGTTATCCAAAGTGAGTAAAGGTGCTGAATGCACCGCCGTGTAGGCTAGGAGCGCGCTTGGGCGTGAGCAGACCTTAAGGTGACTCCAACCATTGCACTGCTTGTACCTAACCGAGGTAGCGGAGGGGTAAGATTTTTTTTTTTGGCATACGCAGCAGAAATAATCCGTCGGACCAGGGTTGGTTTCATGTCCGATTTATGTATTTGGCCGTAGGGGAGTACATTACAGGGGATGATGCCTTGGCAATCTCACCAAACACACAACAAAGCCTCCTTATTTCTGGCCTAGCTTGGAGACTATGTATGCCGGCCCTTCGACGCCAATCGTTTTCATTTCAACGCCAGTCACCCGTCGCTTCAAAAATGGATCGATTTTGTTACGATTAAGGGGTAAAGCCACTACTCTTTTAAAATTCATTGTCGGTATCTGAAGAACAGGACTATAAGTTCTATTTTATCATTTTATTTAACATATATTGAAGTATCAAAAAATATTCTTTAATTATAATTTTGTTACAAAATGGCGGTGATAAAGTCTATTATTTAATCCATGTTTTTTTGAAAGGCGTCCGATTGGAGGCGCGATTTCTTCTAAACGCTACGACCTAAAGCAGAAATGTAAAAAGTTTTATGATTTACAAACTATGGCCCTTGGAAGCTCTACGTATCTACCATACAAATTCCAGATAAATCGATGCAACGGGGTCCGCATAATCTGTCGTCCCATTTTGAAAAATGTGATTTTGAGAAAAATGCGTTTAGAGTTTTCATTTTACTCAGCGCACGCTCTGAGGAGCTGCAGCAAAATAAAAATTACGGTTATTTAAATAATTTTTTTTTCACTTTAAAACCAATTGCATAACATTTCTAGGACCCAAAGGTACCCTATGAACAAAAGCAAAAAATCCCCTTAAGCAGCAACTCGTAGATGGAAGTTCGGTAGGTGCGGTTATGATGTGGCAAGTGGTTCCAAACTATTTTTTGTGTATTGCTTAACTGCTCCTGGGCAATCGAAACAGTGCTCGCTTCCATTGTCGGTTTAATTTTTCGACAACCAAAAATGTGCATGAATTACTGTTACAGTATCAGAACCACCATAAACACTTTCATTTTAAGCTGTCTGACCTACGGTTTCACCTTTGTCGAATAAAAATGGTAGAATAAAGCGTATTTTCTCCTACTTATTGTCGCTCTTTGACATGTTCGTCAAACACTACACACAACACTTCTTTTCTTCTTTTTTTTTAGTAAAAAAATATCATCTTTGCAGCGCCATCTAGCGTGTTCCAATCGCACTTAAATGACGCGAGACAGATCACTAAAGCCGACATATATGCAAGAATAATGGACTACTTTTTACTAGACCTAATACACATAATATTTACATAAATATATAAATATTTATATAATTTAATTTATATGGCAAAACGACATAATATTTCATACATTCCTCTCTTCCCCCTTTCATCCATACAGGGCAGCATTCGATTGTACCTGAGATTTTATTTCTGTTTCCACATAGCCGCACTTATTACCATTTTCATTTTACCCAAATTCATACGCGGCGAACAGCGACGCGAACCCCAAACACAACCACAAAAACAACAAAATCCTAGTGATGAAAATATCAAGTCCAACAACTTAAGCACCGCCTCATTGCCGGCGTGCAGTACAGCTGTAAAGGGCAACCACCTCAACGACACAATCACAGCAAAAATACCTCAAGGCAATAATTGTAATGATCTCAATGATGTTAATGACGACGATGACGATGATAACCTCAGCGCACCGATAGCAGCAGCAAATAAGACGAACAAAAAGAGTCCACCACAACCCACACCGCCAGTGCCAGCACCGAGTGTGGCGTGTGCACGCGAAGCGGTCAGTGTGCAGCATGAAGAATGCGAAATGGATCAATTAGGTAATAAGATTAAGGAGAAAATCGGCACCGAGACGAAGAATATTGAAGAATTCATCGATAAGACTGTGGCCGAGACGGTGAGCGGCATCGTGGAGCTGAAGAAAGATTTGATGCGCAATCGTGGTTTCCCCACTATGCCTCTAACACAGGATGGCCTACGCAAGCGAGTTGGAATCGGTGCAAATGGTACGGCATTGAACGCGGGTATTGGTAGCGCAACTGGCAACGAAACAATCGACAAGCTTGTGAATGGTGTAGAGGAGAGTGGTGCTTTTTTGAAGAAGGAAATCGAAGTCATCAATGCGGTGGTGCAACAGGCGAATGTCCTGCCAGCTGTGCTGAGCAATGGGCATGCTAAATAGTAATAAGCAAAACCACAAGCAGTTAAGAAAAGTCTAAGCTGGCTGGCTGGTGCAGCGGAAAGGAGGAGGGAGGCGTGGGCAAAGCATGCGGCGGCAGAGAAAGGAAGTCGGAGGGAGAATGGAAAGCAGGAAATTGTTGGTGTGAATGGCAAGCTGTTGGCGAAGCAAGCAACATTAATTTTATTTTGGGGGCGAGTTTATTGCCGTATAAAAAGAAAATAATTACAACTCGATAGATATGTATGTAGGGATGTCAGCGATGGCGTGAGATTTGAACTAGAAAAAGGTACCAATGCGAGGCAAATGCATTGAGAATTTTATATAACATGAACATAACTATGTATGTACATATGTGGAGAAAAAAAGCACATCACACCAAGAAAACACAACTGCGCACGCACACACACATATACACCAACACACACAGCTATGCGCAAGCCTTATCAGCACAAAAAAACATATTTTTTGTAAACAGTCGCCAGCGTTACAGTCGCCACACAAACACATGCATACATATTTTACACAATAAAATGTAAAAAAAAAATTATTAGCAACAACAAAAAAATGCTCTTAAAATTGTTGCATTGCAGCTTAAATTTAATTTTGTATCTTTTTCCTTCCGTTTTTCATTGTGAACATTCAAAAATTGTCATTAAGCAATTTTCTGTATTCATTAATCCATACAATAAATACATATACGTACTGTTATTTGCGCATTGAACAAAGCTTAACATTGATAAAATACACAATACGATTTTTTACAAATTATAACCTCAAATTTTTATTTCATTTTTTGATTTAATTTTTTTTTTGTATTTTTTAAGTTTCTACACAAATTTTGTATGGCCTTTAGGCAAGTTGAAAATCTAAGAATTTAAAAAACAAAAGCAGAATGCAATAAACTGTGAAGTTTGCAACAAAAAAGTTGTTTTTTAAGTAAAAACACTTAATAAAATTTAATATTGAAATTAAAAGTCTTTAGCTCGTCGATAAATATTGAATCGAAAAATTAACAATTAACTTTAAACATTTACTAAAAAGGGAATTGTGTCTAATAACACCGTTTAACGAAGAAACTTTAGTCTTTAACTACTATCATTATTGTTTACTAGGATTTCCAACGTTTTTCGATATTTACAAGAAACTTGTGTGTGTACCTTTTTTGTGTATGAATGAGGTTTGTAAAACATACTCAATAGCTTAATAATCTAATTGACTATTTTTCACTTATTTCTTTTCCATATTTACATATTTAGTAAATTCAAGACTCGAACCTCGAACTTCGAAAAGAAACATTCACGAGAGTAAAGCTGATACTAGTGCGGCGTTTGAAATAATATTGACCTTTTTATACGTTAGATTGTACTGTGGTTTGAAATTTTGAAAGTTAAAAAACTTCAAAAGCATTGTTTTGCAAGGAAGTCTCCGTATTTATTTTTATTTTTTATTTAATTTAATTTTTTTATTTTATTTTCATTTTTTAATTTATTTTAATGCAAAAAAAACACATTTTTATTTTGGTTTTTTTATTTAGTTTTTTTTTTTAATTTTTGAATAAAATTCTAATAAATTATTTTTTAATTGTTTTTATTTATTTTTTATTTTATTTAATTTTTATTTTATATTATTATTTTTTAATTTTTCATATTATTTTCTTTTTAAATTTTTCTTAAATTTTTTTTTTAATATTTTTATTTTTTTAATTAATTTTTTTTTTTTTTACTTTATTTTCTTTGAATTTTTGAATAAAATTCAAATAATAATTTTATTTTATCTTTTTACTTATATTTTATTTATTTTTTTGTATTTATTTTTTTTATTTAATTTTCTTTTCTTATTTTATATTTCATTTTTTTTTTTTTGAAATTAATTATTTTCAACTTTTTTTATTTCGGAATAAAATTGTAGTAAATTTTTTAAATTTATTCTTTTATTTTATTCAATATTTTAATTTTTTTCAATTAAATTTAATTTTTTTAATTAATTTTTTTTGTTTTCTTTTCTTTTAATTTTTGAATAAAATTCTTATAATTTTTTTTTATTTTTTTTCTTATTTTTTATTTTATTTAATTTTTTTTTGTATTAATTTTTTTTATTAAATTTTCTATTCTTATTTTATTTTTTTATTTTTATTTCTTTTTAATTTTTTTAAATTAATTATTTTCAACTTTTTTTTATTTTTGAATAAAATTGTAAAAATTTAATTTTTTTATTTTTCCAATTTTTTTATTTTATTTTTCCTATTTTTTTATTTTATTTTTCCTATTTTTTTTTATTTTATTTTTATATTTTTTTAATTTTGAAAATTCTAATAAGTTTTTTCATTAATATTTTTTATATTTTTTTTTTAATTTTATTTTAATTTTTTTAATTAAATTTTTTTTACTTTCTTTTCTTTTGGTTTTTGAATAAAATTCTAATAAATTATAAATTTTATCTTTTATTTTTTATTTAATTTAATTTTTTTTATTTATTTTTTAATTTATATTATTTTTAATTTTTATATATTTTTATTATATTTTTTTTATTTTTATTTTTGAAAAAAAAAACTTTGGGTGTACCAATTAATTCAGTCCATTTTTGTTTTGTTAAAAAAAAGTTTTTTTTTAACAAAAAAACATCCTTCAAAGTATTGTCCATCGATAGCGACTACTTTTCCCCGTCTTTGACAACTTTCGTATACCATCTCTAAAATAGAAGTGCTCTTTGTTCTCGCTCCAATCATTGAGCCATCCTCTCTTCAAAATACTGGAACCGGTGACCTCACAAACCATTTTGCAATCGTTCAAAAAGCCAAAAGCGTCCAAGCAAGATCTGGAGCATACGGCGGATGGAGTAAGGTCAGCATTTTCAGTTATTTTTTGACCGTTACAGCCATGTAGAGCCGACCATTCCCGTTTTCCAAAATTACCCTATCGTGCCCTTTAGTCGTTTTTCAAACGAGGCTCGGTTGAAACGCAATAATTGTATTCGTATAAATAAATGATTTTGCCTGGCTGACGTTGAACTTAATCCACTAAAGCCAGCAATTCCTCGCCCTCCAACATTTTGGTTTGGTCATCACGCTCCTTGTCATCGATGCTAACATTAACAACAGTTTTTGAAGCATCGAAATCACTGTCTGATTTATCAGTCAACGCAGATTCACCCCAAACTTCCACAAGCAATCGATGGGTTTCATTTGAGCAATTTTCTATCAACTGATAAATCTCGTAAATGCTGGAGACAAGAAGTAATGTTGTATTTAGAAACAGACGCTGATGGAATGATCTTTAGAAAAGGGAACGATATAGCTTATACCATTGTAAAGACCTTTTGTCATTTGTCGGCTAACTTAACAATTCCATCCAATTTCTGTACCATCAAAAGAGTTTTGCAAAGACTAAAATGAACTGTATTCAGATGACGCAAGATCTATGGTATGGTATGGTTGAAGCATCAAAACTGCATAACCAAACTCTGTCAATCTTTTCCACATTTCCAAAGTTTTATATGATCTGGCGTCGTCATGATGAAATGCAAGACTTTAAATTTTTTTTTAATATCAATTTCGGACGCTTTTTCCGAACAGACTTGTTGTAAGCTAATTAATGGTTAACAGCAGAGCTAGGAACGCGATGATGTGGTTAGGATTGACATTCCGAAGGCTAAAGTTCGAGTACTGGTTTGCCCCTCGGCTACTCATAAAAACCCATCAGCCGTTCGGAGTATAAGCTGTTGATCTCTCCATTTGTTGGAGGAGAATCTCGGCCGCAAATCACTTCAGCGGTAACAAAAGCTCCAATTGTGTAAATATACATTTCTATAAATATAAATTCCTTTGTTCTGAATGACTGAAGGATCAAACCACAACTTAAACCATTGATCGTAGATATCTCTAATTTAGAGGGTGATAAGTAAGACCTGTGATGTGGATCTGGGACCGGTCTTTTCGAAAAAAAAATCGATTTATGGTTCAATTTACATGAAATTTGGTGCAAACATAGGTTGCTCTTGTCTAAATTGATGTCTCGAACACCTTTTCTTCCGGGTAGTTGGCTTGGAATCGATTCGATGATCCGGCCGGTTTTGCTTAATATATGTATATAGAACATATGTAGGTGTGTCTTTCCGGAAGCCGTTCTCTCCGAAAGAATTATATTTATCTATTACACACATCTATATTGCTCAGAGGGCTGACTCCGTTCCGCCAGGTTTCAGCAGCTTATAATGAGCAATTTTCTACCAAATCATCCACCATATGCACAGCAACAGTGTTTGCCGTCAACGACGGTCAATCAATTCATCTAGCACTCCAACTTCGAGCTTCTTTAAGTGGTCTATATTTTTTTAAGTAATTCGAAACTTTTACGTGAGTGATTCCTAAAGCCTCTACTATCGCCCGACAGATCGCATGTCGGACTTGCTTCACTAGCTGTGGAATTTCAACTGCTTTTTGAGTGACTGGACGGCCAGAACGTGGCGAATTTCTGAAATCAAAATGTCCGGTACGGAATCGAAATCGTGCGTTCGGCACTGGCTTACAACATTCTCAACGTTAACCACAAAATCTTTTCTTTACTTTCTTTGCAGCGCTTTCACTTTTTCCATAGTAAAACGGCATCACAAAATTTACTTCTTCGGAAATTTCAATCATTTTCAAATCAAAATAACTTTTCACATTAAAGACAATTGAATTGATTGCTTGAAATGTCAGCTTTCCAACAATGCTTAGTTCCATACAATGGGATTAGTGTATCAACTAAGGTATCAAAGAACCGCGGAGACTTTTGCACTTAACCAAAATTTTCAAGTTATGAGCAAACCAGCTTCATAGAATGACCTTTCAGCCTGCCTCGGGTTAGAGCTGTGCTAGGAAAATTGTGGAAGCAAAAGGCATATTTAATGCCAGAGGACTGAGAGCAAACTGGAGCAAAGTATATTCACTCGCATGGCTGGGAAACTGCCTTCGATCCAGTACGTCTTCCAAATACAAATACAAAGTTCTTCTAAGCTCGCGGCTCTTGCCTGCTTGCAACGCCAGAAATAAACTCATTGTTGTCAGTTGAAAAAATCTACGCAGGTCTTCTTTTTATTCTTCCAAATATTATTTAATAAAATAGTTTAGAATAGTGCATAGTTTTAGGCGTTTTTGTTTTTTTTTACAAATGCACAACGGAGCCACAAAGAAATAAGCTTCCAATTTTTTTAACATTTCCTTTTTTCTTAAATTTATTTATCAAAAAAAAAAAAGTAATAACAATAAAAATTAATATACAATTTTTTAGAAACTCTTAAAGCCAACAACTACCATATGTTAACCGCTAATTGTTTGTTTGTATACATAAGATGTCTGTTTGTGAGCGAGAGTATACACACACACACACACACACAATTCTAAAAGCAAAACTACCAACTAAGTTAAAAATAGCAACAAATTTATGAAATATTTATAGAAAAGGTAAACAAAAACAAAAAATTAAAATACTAAAATTTAAAAAACAAACAATACAGTTATAAATTAAACAACAACAAACTGAGACTAAAATATTTTAAATGTTTTCCCATAACAAAAAAAAAAAAAAAACAAAAAAAAAACACGATGAAATTTAAACATTTTCTAAAAACTACATACCTACAAACATACATACATACGTGCAAATACAGTGCTAAATTAACAACAAAGGGTAATATACATACATAGAAAAATGAAAAACAAGAAAAAATAAATAAATAAACAATACAAGCATACATATGCAATTGAAACAACAACAACAAGATAGAAGATTTACAAAACAACACACACACACACAATGTTTTAGACTGAATACTAGTAACAGTAAAATAAAAGAAGCTTAAATACAACAAAAACAAATTTAACTTTGACAACAACAATTGAAATTTGACAAAGCAAACGGTCGAGTAGACGTAAATATCATTTTGTTAAAATAAAATATTAATATTTTTATTGAACAAATTTGTCGTTAAGAAGTTATTTAAAGCGCCAGAGTGTTGCTCATCGACGTACAGAGCGTTTGAAATTACAACAAAAAAATGCGCAAATTTTTTTTAATGATTTTTACAAATCTCCTTGTATACATTTGTATAAAAAATAATAAGTAAAATAAAAAAAAATAAAAATTTGCTGTCAATGGTTTTGGCGATAGCTTGAAACTATTCATGCTCTATGAAGAGTAAAAAAAGAGATATATTAGTTAAATTACTTTGACATTATGAAACAATAATTTTTTGCGCCGCCTTACAGTTAGCGTTTAATAATAATGGTTAAAGGGTGTGCTACTAACACGAGTGTGTTCGCCGTGAAACTCGAAAAATTAAACATTATGATTTTCAGTAGAGAAATATATATCAATTTTAAATAAACAAAATAAAAAAAATTATAATTTTTTTTAACAGTTTCTTAAACAAATATTTATATTCAACATTTTTGATGTTGTATTTCAATTGTATTTTTTTTTCAGCTTAAGAACACAAGCAATCTTACACGCCTTGCCGTGAAACACAATTTAATTAATTTTTATTACAAATTTTTTGCAATAATATACAACAAACATACATACATTTGTATACGTATGTTTAATTTAATAAATATTTACATAGCTAGCAAGTGGAAAGTTATTAAATGCTAAAAAAAAAGTTACTAAATACAAAAAAAACAGCAAACAAATACAAAAACGAAATAAAATGGTAAGAAAAATCAGTGTTTACAAAAAACAAGCGAACTAGATAAGTCAAATTTTTGAATGTAAAAATAATGGTAAACTCATAATTTACGATTATTAAGTAAATTAAAAAACTAGAAAGGAAAAATGCAGATATTTTTAAAAAGCGAACAATAAAACAAATCGAGTTTTTATTTCAAAATGGATAGGTGAGTCTCATAAGCGATGGCCCTTTTCATTAAATTATATATTTTTACTAAACATTGAGAATAGTTTTTGAATGCATTTCAAATTTTGCTCTGTCAAAAATGTACTAATATAATTACATAACTGCATAGCTCTTGGGGGAAATTTATTAATTTCTTTTATTTTTATTTATTCTTTAACTAAGATATTTCCATCTCCACTACAAGTAAGAAAATACAATTATATTTAATATAATTCAATTATAAGTAGCTTTTTATCAGTAGACTCCTTCAAAATTTTAAACTACCAGTGATTTTGTAAAAAGTACCATGTTCATCGCCCGATGCATGATGCATTACACACAAATGCAACTCGTTACATTCCACTTTGCCAAAATTATAGTCACCAAAACGTTTGAGAATTTCCCTGGCATCAAAAGTCGGTGCCGATTTGGCATCGAGTTGTTTGCGATAACGGTTATTCATAACGGTCATGTGCAGCTTCACTGCACCTCGTTCGTGATCGTCGAAACCTAAGCCGCTGCGTAAAAATGGCTGCATCGCCATATCGGCAAACTTTTGTAATTCCGGCGCTACAACGCAAGCATACAAAACACGCACAGCACTGGGATCATCATTCATAATCTCCAAGCCACGTATCTCTATTTGGAAAGGTGTTTTTAGGCCATCAAGGAATGTTCTGAATGGAGAATAAATTAGTAAACTTAAATAAAAATAAATAGTAACTATTTGAAACAACAGTTACCGGCAACTTTGTAGAATTTCTACAGCTTTGGCACGTTCAGCTGCGTCTAGCAATACGCAAGTGGTAAGCGTTAAATGTATACAATCTTCGGTTTGGAAAATATTTTCATCAATGCCTGGTAAATTAAGTGCCAATACATCTTTCTATTGATAGCAAAATATATTATTGAGTTTCGTATGTAAACGTATGAAAAAATGTGGTCCCACCTTAAAATTGATGAATTTTTCTTTTATTTCGCCTTCATGTAACGGTACACAAGTAAAGTGAGTTGGTCGCATACGTTTGCGCAGTGAAAGCAGTAACAAATTAATTTTTCTACGTGCCGCCATGACGTTACTGCGACTTTTGCCTAAAATGTTTGTTCAAATTCATTTAATTCTATTTTAATATTTTCCGGTACAAATTGTGGTCTAACCTTTTACACTAACATCCTCAGCTTGTTTCTGCCCACCCTCTCGACTGCGTGGTACATAAATATCGGTTAAGGTTTCTGATTCGATGCGCCGCTTTGTGCTGCCTTTGAAGCCGATTAAACCACCATAAAAGCTCCTATAAATAAAATTGTAAGAAATTTACTTTTATAATAAATGCCAATCACTAACTGAGCCACATGCATAGTCAGCTTGTAATAGCCGTTTGGCAATTCTTCTATTGAAAAATTTCCGCCCTCTTCTTGTTCATCATCATCATCTTCGTCATATAGGTCTGTAAGAACAATATGTAGGTAAGTAATGTTTAATTTTTGGAGGTTTTCGTGATTTTTTCATAGAAAGTTATGCATATATTAATGCTTACCCTGCTCCACATAAGCGTTGGCTGATTTCTGTTCTCCTGGATGGGTCTGCTTGCGCTGCATGACTGCTTGTTGGTTACCAAAGTCTTCATGTATTATGTTCACGCGATAACAACGATTATTGCCCATACGCTGTAGAGGTGGGGCAAGCACTTCTCGGCTCATTATTAATTACTTAACACGTAAAATATTTATTAATAAATTTTTAGATTTATCTTAAAGTCGAATTGTTGCCTCTTTTATTAACAAATTAAGAAGAATACGATGAAAACAAAAAACATCAAAAAGCAGCTGACGGAGAGCAGCTGATCTGAAAACGTCAAATTTTGTATATTCAACGTACACGTATTTTCCGAAAAACGTCGGTATATTTTATACACGTGCGAATCAAGAATATAGTAAACAATTTTATAATTATTCTTCATAATCGTATAGATTCTTAGAAAGAACAAACAAAAAAAAAAATATGCCGCCAGTGTTAAACGGCAAGGAGCCGCCAAAGTCATGGAAAAAAATCAACGTCGAACGCAAAGCTTTGAGGAAGCAGCGTAAACAGGAAAAATTGTTGAAGGAGCTTGAGAAGAATGCACAAACTGAATTGGAAGCAGTGCAGGCAGCTGAGAAAATACCAGAAAAGCCAAAATTACAGCCTTCCACTATTAGTATAGCAGTGCCCGGTTCCATACTTGAGAATGCACAATCGGCGGAATTACGCTCTTACCTAGCTGGGCAGGTGGCACGCGCTGCTAGCATTTTTCGTGTACATGAAGTGATTGTATTCGATGATGTTGGCGTTGCGACAGCACGTGAAACAAAACGTAATTTCGATGCAGAAGATGGTGACGATACCATGAATGGTGTTGGTGCAACAACGGTGCGAAGTAGTTGTTTGCAATTGGCACGCATCTTACAGTACTTGGAGTGTCCACAATATTTACGAAAATTCTTTTTTCCCCTGCACAAAGATCTGCAGTATTCAGGGTTAATGAATCCCTTGGATACGCCACATCATTTGCGGCAACAAAATGTATTCCTCTACCGAGAAGGCATTATTTCAGACAAACAAGCCAAAAATGGGCAATCATTTGTGAATGTTGGTTTATTAAATGATGTGCTGGTCAATAAGGCTATCGAACCCGGTGTGCGTGTTACTGTTAAGTTGGACAATATAAAAGGTTTGATAATATGAAAAATATGTATATAATTTATGTTTCTACTATTTGTTTTACTTATATTTGTAGATAACAACAAAAAGCTGCGCGGCAAAATTGTTAGTCCGGATGAACCGCGACGCGAAACTGGCGTCTACTGGGGTTACACCGTACGAATTGCGCATTCACTTGCTGAAATCTTCACGAAATCACCTTATGCCGGTGGTTATGATCTAACAGTTGGCACTTCAGATCGTGGCACCAATGTACATGAGGTGCCAAATCAGTCTTACAAATTCAATCATCTACTACTCGTTTTCGGTGGTCTTAAAGGACTCGAGACTGCATTAGCAAATGACGATAAGTTAAATGTAGATGATCCAGCGTTACTCTTCGATCATTATGTGAATGTATTGCCACGTCAAGGTTCGCGTACAATACGAACGGAAGAGGCCTTGTTAATTGCTTTGGCGTCGCTGCAGGAGAAATTACAACCGGCTGTGCCAGATGTGGAGGAGAAGCTCGACGAATATCAACTACCACGTAGTGATGATGCAGGTGTACGACTGGATGTTATGAAAAGCAACAAGAAAAATAAAAAACGTAAATTTGACGAACATGTAATTGATCACGTGAATAAAGCAGTGGATGAGCAACAAGAGCAGACAAATCCCTTTGGAGATAGAACGTCGCCAACGAAGCCGAAAAAAGACAAACAAAACGAAACTTTTAATCCATTCGATAAAAAAACGGTAAATAAAAAGAGCAAACAACAGAATGTTTCTTTTAACTCAGCGGAAAACGGAGTAAAGTCGAAATTGAAACATAAAAAGGAGGTCAGTAATGCTGGAAATAGTGTTGAAGACGACCTTGAAGTAGTGCCAGTGGATGGAAGCAATCCGACAGCTACTTCGAAAGATTTAGGCGATCTTAGTCGCTTTGATTAGTTATTTTTTCGGATAATGTTTAATTAGTGCTGTAGTTAACTTGGAAATAAAAAAAATATGCGTATTGAAGTCAAAAACTTCAACAAATTTTTTTGTTTGATGTTCTAACGCTTTTACATCGATCATTAAACGATTTGTTTTTTATTTTTTATTTTCATGTACATTTCATGTTTTTTTATTACTAATAGTACACACTTATATACACATACCCGTATATGTATGTATGTTTTATAAATATCTTTCATATAATCTATTTATGTAAGCTCAGCTTACACGCCATAATCAACATTTATATATTTTTTATTATGAAACTTATACATTTTACGCTAAATATACATACATTTACTTACAAGTATCTAACATGCACTGCAGTTGGTGTATAAATATGCATTTGTATTTATGTGTGGAATGCATTTCATTCAAAAATAGGCGAACATAAATGTTCCATTTCGTGGGTCAACAAGATTCGTACTAGATATACTGTTCAATAATTACATACATACATATATTGCCGGTGCTCGAAACTAATTTTAATACTATTTCCTAAAAAGAATTCGCTGACTACGAATATTTTAGTGTACCTAATTGGTTTTGCGCTCATTAAATTTTAATTCAATTTGTTTATCGCATATTTTCGTAATTATCGGTATTGCGTTAATTTTTTGATAAAATTTTGCCTTTCAAATTTGGTTAAAATTTTATAAAGTCCTACTGTGCGAAACAGTTATGTTATTCGGAAGTGAATTTAATTGTTTTCCCCATTTATTCTTTGCATTTTATTTACAAAGCCTATTAATTTCTCGAACATTATGAGGTTAATATTTGATTTCGTAAATACAATACATACATATATTTATTTTAGTTTACGTCTTGATGTTTTACAAATATACTTAAATTACTTTATTATAGAAAATAAATGTATTTGGATTAAGTTTAGGAGCAATCGCCAGGAGAGAAAATTGTTTTAAGACCGAACAACATTTTTAGAAAATATTGGCTAAAACAAGGTAAAACAGAAAGAGCAAAAGCATACATGTTGTTGAATATTTCAGTTGAAATAAATTGTAAATGTGTAGATCACTTCGAAAAAGGGCAGAAAACACGGAAGTGTTTGTAATCCATAATAATTCAGAAGTGGAATATTTAAAAGCAATTTTATGTGGCATATATGTATATAAAGTACGTCCACGATTCATATATTAAAATGTTCACTGCAATGCAATTTTTAACAGAAAAGTACTGAAGTACTTTATCCGTTAAAGTGAAGGGAAAGAGGCTGTATTTGTAGCTACTCCGAAGAATCACGTTTATCATCTCTATTTGGTCTGGTCATACTCGTATATATTTACTTAGGCTATTTCAATAAACCAATAGTATATTTGCTTACAACATAACATGATTTTTTTTTGACAAATAGCCAAATTATAAAGTTCTTAAAGTACAAGTAGTAAAAGTGGAATGGCGTTAAAGTTATTTATAAATTTTGAAGTCATATGTAAAATACACACATTCTTTTAAATCCATAATAAATGGTTACCTCTACATTTTTAACTTTAATACATACATACAATACATCATTACAAACCTGTAGATTAATTCAGTTTTTTGGTATGAAACTTAATAATTAAATATAATTTATTTTTATAATTTCATTATTTTTTGTAATACTTTTTTTCAAGTCCTAATTATTATGAATTATTACTATTTTATTCCGCTAAGCACAATTTAGCGAAAAACAACGTTATGAAACTTCATATACATACAAATTTTTAGCATGAATTGTTTTTTTTTTTTTAATCTCTATCGTAAATACATATGTCAGTCGGGTTAAAATGATTTCCACGATAACATTGGCTTGAGACTTTGTTTCACTTATAATTAATTTTGTCTATTATTTTTTATATCTTTTATCATAATTCAAACACATCGTAGATTCAAATGAAATTATTAAAAGGAATGTAATAAAATTATTGTTGAAAATGTTCTCTCTACTTACATATAAAAAAAATGTTGTTCTTCTAGTTACACAATACACGCTACTTGGTGTAAATACTAATTTCTTTGACCACTTTCCTATATGTTTTGTTGATTTTTCGATATTATCATAATGTTACTTAGAGCTTAATAAAACAACATTATGAAAACCATTTGTTTGAACTTATACATAAAATACCCAGAAGAGCTGTCGTATGACCATGTCTTCAACTAAATATAATAAGATGCCACGTTATCGTCGGAAATTATCAACTATGGAAGGTATGTGCTGTGAAAACGTGTCTCGGGAAAGACATCCTCTTCCATTTCGATGCGCGTATCACTATTGCCCAGCAACGATTCCGCATCCTCCTCCAAATGTCGTATTGGATAGCTAATGCCATCACCCATGCTGCCAGAAGGTGTGAAAAAGTGTTGGTGTGTTTTTATTTTAGTTTTATAAATATAAAAATTTTTCTAACTATTGTAAACTGATTATGACCTTCAACATATAAATGAAATGATTAATGAATAATGAGCAGTTCTGCGAGGAAATCAAAGCCTATGATTTCTTTATATTCAAAAGAAAAGCTAGCGAAATTGAACGTACAAGCGATGGCGAAATGAGTAACGCTCAGAATAAATTTTATATATATTTTTTTATAGGATGAATAGATAATACTTATAGAAGGTTTTGTTTCTGTTCAACATTTTTTTGTGATGAACTTAAAAGACCTTTGAAAGATCAAATTAATTCAGAAAAGAAAAGATCGCAACAGACAGCCAGCCAGATAGTTTTCTAGCCGACTTGCACTTCTGCTCTCTGAGAGCAACCGACACAGAGGTAGCTGTGGAAAAGCAGGGAAGCGAAACGCAATTTCACGAAGAACTTGACGAAATTGCTATATTCTTGGACTAACAAACGGTTGCAAGACTGGAGCATCCTTCTGTTGGTGTTAAAGCCATGATATGGAAAGCGAAGTCAAGAGTATATTGAATATAGAATTCAATATTTCAAATAGCACTGGAAGTAAAATATACGGAGGTGATGAACCATAATTTTTAAGCGATTTCCATGGTATACATGTCACCAGTCTATGACGTGATTCAAAAGGCTCGCTTAAAGAATAACAAAGCGGAGGAAGCGGAAGATATTCAACTTGCGTTAACTCCTGAAAAACACCCTATGCCCTACGTCTGTGTAAACTGACTAATTAAGAATTGTGAAGGATATCTCCGAGCCTCACGATACTAAACGAGCTTTCTTGTGATTTCTTCGCACCGTAAGTTCTGCTTAACCTAGACTTGATAAGGAAGCGAAGCGAAGCCTTGGAAATCAACCCATAGTCTCCCTTGCCGATAGATATTAATTTGAATGGAGTAGACATTTGAAAAGTTAAATCCTCTTTTGACGAACAAATACCGAACACTACAAGTCACTTAATTTTTTTGTCTTGCTATATGGTGAGGAAGCGAGCATGTTGAGAACATAAGACGCGTCTTCTGTGGAGTCTTCGAGAGAAAGGTTTTGTGGAAGATTTATAAGCGACCGCAAATACCGCAGATAATGTAATGTTGAGCCGTACGAGATATACCTACGACCTCACTGATAGAAGTCAGTGAATTAAGAAACAGTGGTTATATTTTCACCGTTATGCGATCCGAATGGATGTAAATATTCCACCTCTGAAAGTATTCGTTGCAGTACCCGCTGGTGGGCATACAGGAAGAGCAAGATCTCCACTCGGGTGGAAAGATCTGATAGAGAAGAATCTGACTAGACTTGATGTCCCTAAGGGGTATCGAACGGCTATACGAAGAAACGACTAATGCGCTATGGAGAAGAAACTTGACTTTTTAGCTGCGACTTCGCTGTTTGAAAGCCAGAAAGCGACCTCGTGTATGGTTTTAGCAGGCATAATCATCTCAAAAATAAACTGTACATATGTATGTAGGTATGTGAGAAAAGATGAGTATATGTCCTATCCGCCGTTAAGCGCAATGAGTTTTTATTTTTTTATTTTTTATTTGTAAGCAAGCTTTTATTTAATACGCAGCCCGACATGAATTAAAATAAAATTGAATTTTAAAAAATATTTCGAAATAAAAAAATTAATATTTCATGCATTATTCCAAAGCAAGCATTAAAAAACTTGTTTTCGAACAAAAAAAAAAAGAAATTTAAATAAATTACTAACGACTAGCTTTTGAAATATCAATCATAAGTAGAATACATACTACATGTACAACTCTCAAGCTCTAATTTGGCAAATTAAAAACACAAATTTATTTCGCATAATTTCATTATTTACTTAAAAATATTATCATGAGCAAGTTTTAAATTTAATTTAATTTGTATATAATTGTTTTTTTTTTATTTTTATTTTTTATTATTATGCATTTAGATTAAAAACAAATTACAAAATTATTTTTCATCAGTGAAATACATACATACAAATTAGTTATTTACATACTTAGCATGAATTACAATACAACAATCATACATATTGTAAATATTATATATATCTATATAGCAGTTAAGGGGAAAATATACAACGAATATTATATTTTTGATAAAATAAAGTACAAAATGGAGTTTTGGATACTTGAAAAACCATCACGAGTTATTCCGAGCCAATACCAGAGCTAACTAACGTCTTTGAATTGGCTTCGCTATTTCAGCTTTTCAACTAAAATTTGCATGAAGCTTTAATTGTGATGAGAAATACATATGTTTGTATATAATTTAATTTGAATTTGAAAGAAATAATAATAAAAAAATAACAATAAAAAAAAATAAAAATAATAAAAAAATAAAAATTAAATACGAAATTAATTTAATAATTAAAAATGAAATTAATTCTAATGAAATACAAAATAATATGAATTTTGAATGCACATATCGAAAGCTAATGCTAATAAACAATAAATTATATAAATGTATTTATTAACACTGTTGTCTAGTGTTTACATATGTATGCATGTACATATGTCATGTAGTCGTAATCAGCATTTGTTCATTATAAATACATTGAAATTAACTTTTGAATTAAAATCGGTTTCAGTTGAAAAATATAATTTTAAATTTTAAATTAAAAAATTTCTCTTAGCACAACAGTTAGTTATTCAAACTATTATTGCTGCATTGTCAATATTTCATTAAAAAGAAAAAAATGTTTTAAATGCTTACGCATTTTCACAAATATTAAATTTTCAAATTTACATGCTATTTCCCAAAAAGAAAAATTACATTTTTTAATTCTAAGTCGCTTAGCTAACCAAAGTTGTTTTAGAGAAAACGCTTAAATCTAAATATAAATGCACTTTTTATTTCCTTAAAAACGCCCTAACTGTAGCCGACTGAAACTCAACAACACTGCGTTCAAAATGGCAAGTAAAATTGATTAAAAAATGCGTTCAAAATCATGCAAGCTAAGCTGAATACGCATTTTTGCGCTGGAAAAAAAATTAAATTTCATAATTCCATGTTGTTGAATAACAGAATACTACTACTGAAATGCTCAATGTGCGTTTGACATACTTTTTTTAATCACTGTTACAAATTGAACATACTTATTTTAATAAATTTAGTTTTTCTATAATTTTTCTTTCAAAAAATTTGCTTCAAGTGCTAGTAATAAAATGTGTGTTATTTTTTTTAGTAAATAAGGCCTTAGACCGTTATTGCAATCGATTGAAATCGACATTGATATTTCAATTCCATGGCTTATAAAATACTCGACTACATATTTAGCTAAAATTTAAGGATAATAGTTTGCGCAACTGCTAAATGCTAATGTCACATGACGTCGCAGTGTATAATTCATTTGTTTGATTTTCTTATAAATCTAATCGCTATTTAGTTAAAGTTGCAGCATATATGCAGATATGTTTGTATGCATGTGCCAGCTACGCTCAAAACTACACATCTAAACAACTTCGTGATTTTGCTGATGCTGATGCTGATGTTGGTGCTCGTGCTGATGCTGATGTTGGTGCTCGTGCTGCTGCTGCTGGTGCTCGTCATTTATACTTTCAATATTTCTCATATTGATGACTACATTGCCATTGGTTGTGTCCAATGTGGGCCCGTTAAATGCAACCTCAACTTCATGTGTCGCTGTTGTTCTCTCCACCATTGGCCGTACAGGTATTATGGTGACCATGCCGCCGTCATTGGCCTCAGTGCCATCCGATTTGACTGTTACCGTGGAAGCTACAGATGCTGAAGCGATAGTGTCATCTAATGGCCCTACACCGTCTTCATGTAGCAGTTGATGATGTTGACTAAAGTTTTGCCTTTGTTTTTCGTTGTTGTTGTTGTATGTGTGTGTGTGTAATGAGTGTGAGATAACGAAAAAAATGTGTTTTTTTGTGGTTTACTCTTAAAATGATATGGATTACAAGCAATTTATTGGCGTGGATTTGTATAAGAACAAAAGTTTTACGCTTAGCCATACAACAATTCAAAATCGACAGCAACAACAACAATTGTAATGTGTATGGTTTTTGTTTTGTTCTATAATACTTATACGCCGCCAAAGCTAGCTAATATACAGATTTGTACTTAAATATCTAGTATACCGTTAAAAGTAAGTATGTAAATGCTTGGAGTTCATATGCTAACCTGGTTCTTTGTGCGCTGGTATCGCCCATGGAATCGTATGATTGCATCTGATGTTGCTTTTGTGTGGTATATGATAATCCATCGCCGACACTGGTACAAATATGTAATACATATGTATGCGCATTATAATGAGAAACATTTGAAGTTAATTTTTTGGTTAATTAATTTTTATTTCTTGTTTGCTTTTTTGATTTTAATTTGAATTTTGTTTTGTTATTTACTTATAGTTTTTTTGTTATTAAATTTTTTAATTTTTGTTTTTTTTTTCTTAATATTAATTTTAATTTTCTTTTTATTATTTAAATTAATATTTCATTTTATTTTTTTTTCTAGTTATTTAACATTAAAACTTAGCTCGGTACTTAATTATTTTTTTTAATTTCCTTTTGTTCTTTAATTAAATATTTTATTTAATACACATTTTTTATTTTTTGGCTTTGTAATTTTTATATTTCTATTTTTTATTTAACATCTTTTTTGTTATATAATTTTAATTTTTCATATAATCTTTTTTTATTTCGTTTTAATTTCTTTTTTTTAATTCCTTTAGTCTTTTATTATTTTATTTTATTCTATTTTATTGTTAACTAATGTAATATTCATTACTTAATTCAAATTGTTTGTGTATGCGCATTATAGAGATAGAAAGAAACATTTGAAGTTAATTTTTTGACTATTTAATTTTAATTTCTTAATTGCTATTTGATTTTGATTTCTTTTTTTTTTTGTTATTTACTTTTAATTTTTTTATTATTTAATTTTGGTTTTTTTTTTCACTAGTTTTATTATACAATGTTATCTTTTTTATTATTTTCATCTTTGTTTTAATTTAATTTCAAAATATTGCTTGCTTTTTAATTTTAATATTTTTATTATTTTACTATTTAATTAAATTTATTTTTTTGATAATTAATTATAAAATTTTTGTTTGATAATTAATTTTAATTTTTCTTTTTTTTGGTAATTTAATTTTAAGTTTTTTTGTTATTTAATTTTTAAGTTTTGTCTTATGTTAATAATTTTAATATTCTTTTTGAAATTTATTTAAATCTATTTTTATATATTTTGTTACTTAATTTTAAAAATTTCTTTATTTTATGTATTAATTTTATTCTTTTATTAATTTTCTATGTAATTTTGAAGTTTTCTTTTGCTATTTAACTTTTTTGTCACTTAGTTTTTGTTATTCTCTTTCGTTATACAATTTTAATTTTCTTTTATTTTACATTTTTTTATTTTTTAAACTACCTAAATCTTTTAAAATTAATTTTAATTTCTCTACTCAATTTTTTATTTAATATTAAATTTTTTAGTTGTTTAGCATTATTGTTTTTACTTAATTTTAATTTTTTTGTTATTTAATATTGATTTCTTGTTAATTAATTTAGTCTTTTTTATTTATCGTTAAAATTTTTTCGGTATTTTCTTTTTGTTATTTAATTTTTTATTTCATTTGAAATCTTTACTTTAATTTTTTGTTAATTAATTTAAATTTTTTAATTTTAATTTTTTTTGTTATTTAATTTTAATTGCTTTTTGTTATTTAATTTTAATTTCTTTTTGTTATTTAATTTTAATTTATTTGTGTATGTAATAAATTGTTTTATTTTTTAAACTACCTGAATGTTTAAAATTAATTTTAATTTTTTTTTTAATTTTTCTCTACTCAATTTTTTATTTAATATTATTTTTTTTTAGTTATTTAGCACTATTGTTTTACTTAATTTTAATTTTTTGTTGTTTAATATTGATTTTTTGTTAATTAATTTAGTCTTTTTTATTTATAATAATTTAAATTTTTTCGGTATTTTTTTGTTATTTAATTTTAGTTCTTTACTTTAATTTTTTTGTTAATTAATTTAAATTTTGTTTTGTTATTTAATTTGAATTACTTTTGCTTATTTAATGTTAATTCCTTTTTGCTATTTATTTTAATTTATTTGTGTATTTACTAAATTGTAATTAACTTTTAATTTTTTAAATCAATTTGTTTTCATTTATTTAATTTTATTAATTAATTTTTATTTAATTTGTTAATTAATTTAATATTTTTTATCAAGTTTTAATTAATTATTTAATTTTTTTGTTATTTAACTAAAAATTTTTTAGTAATTAGTCACTTCAAGCGCTTTTGCGGGGTAAGTATCTTAATTGGGTTAGCTTCAAAATGATTTGTGTGCGCAGCAATTTATTTAGTTTGGCTCTTAAGATTTGCTAAGAATGCACTTAAGTTTTATAACATTAGGAGTTAGAGTTAGAGTTAGAACAAGGATGTTTTTAAGTTGAAGGATTTTTTGGGTAGGATAAAAGAGTTTAACGGAAGTTTTTAACCTCCTTCGTGTACATATATGTACAAATATATAGAACAGAAACAGATCACAGAGCGATAGAGCGTGTGGAAAAGATCTCATTTTTAGCACAGCTGATACTAAGTCGAATTCTATCAAGGATCCATCCAAACAGTGCTTGAAATTAAATTAAAAATTAATTATATTTATATATATATGCACGAAGCACGGTTTGGATCGTTTTTTAGGCTCTTCTTAGTTTTTTCCCCCTACTTTTCTATATAGCGAATTTTCTTGCCTTCATTTATACGAAATAATATCGATAACTAAATTTATGCTCTTTCATTAGTAGAAATATGCTTTTTTCTGGAGATAACCTGAAAAAATAGAACCTCATCCTGAAAACAAGTACATGTGTATAAGATATATTTAAAAAAAAACTATTACCAGTTTTGTGTACATTTTGATATAAATATAATATAAGTCGAGTTAAGCCAATAGTGAGGCAGGCGAGAGATGAGTTTTTAAGCGTTAGCATTAACACATACTAAAGTAATCGCCTTTAAGTGTTAAGAGTTTATTTTAAATACTTTAAAAAATTGTTTTTGATTTTTGGAGACTTATTTTATTATCAAACACTCAATTTTTGGTGCCATGCTTTTAGAGCACTCATTTTTTAAACTCCTAAAACTAACTTACTTATATATACATACAGCTATATTTGACTGCATAGCATTTTTATTTGCATTTAAATTCAAAACTTAAGACTAACGCTTTGTCCTTACCTTAAAGTTAATATATTTCCTTAAGAATACAATTTATATATAAATGCATATATTAAAAACAAAAAAAAAAAAAAAAAAAATGAAAAATGTTCGCTTATATTTGAATGCTTTTAAACAAATAGACACAAATAAAATGGTTTATGTTTTTAATTTGCCAAATAAATTATGTTAAAAAAAAACGCAAATGAAGTGCAAAAAAAGTGCTCTTTTTGTACATTTAGTGAAATTTCAAAAGAACTTAAAGCTAGTAATTGAATTTAACTAGGATATAGAGATTTGGGAAACAAGGTTTTTTTTTAATAGTGCACATTCTATAGCAAAAGAAAGGTGGAAAAAGTTTCAAATCAAAAATAGCTGCACACACATATATACAGAGCAGAAGTTGAACAAATTAAAAAACACATAAATTTATAATTAACAATAAGCAATTACCTCGTATAGACTGGCAGAAACCACAATTTCCAATTATCGCCAAACACTTCTTGGAAATTGGCGTATTTACCCAAATTATAGCCATTCTTATCTGGACCGCCAATGCGGAATATGGGCGCACGAAAAGCTTCTATATCGGGAATTGAAAAGGAAAATGTATTACTAATTTTATATATTATTTTTTTTTTTTTTAACAGACTCACCTAACGTTGTGCGATTCATGAGCGTCAAGTAGACATGATAACCGAACAGGCTCACCAAACTTATGGCAAACATCAGCGATACAAAGAACAGGAATAGTATGTGAAAACGTCCCATGCCACCATTTAAATCGCCCTGTTGTGAAAGGTCCGACTTCATTTTTGTACGATTTTGTTTGTTTTGGTTTCATTGTTTCATGTTTTTTTTATTTATATTTTTTTTTCGGGTTTTTAGATTTGGTGTTGGTCAGTGTACGAGTAAATAATAACAACAACAACTACTTTATCAAAAAATCATGCTATTTACATGCATACAACATTTAATAGATACAAAAGGAATGCAGGAGGAATGTACGTGTATATGTATGTGTGTGTGTGTCTATGTGTTTAAGAGTTTAAGATGTTTCGTCTCACTATAAACTTACCCGCCAGAAACGTATAAAATATTCCAACGATGTTAAGGCCACATACAGACAGTAAAGTAACGCATAGCCCAAAAAGAGTACAAAATATTTGTAATTTGTAAAGTTGACACAATTATTCACCCACGGACAGTGATGATCCATTTTGAGTACACAAGCACCACAAACACTGCAATGATGTGCACGATCCGGTTTAATTATTTTGCATTTTTCACAAAAACGCACTGAACCATTTAGCGTACTAGACAGTGTTGTGGAGAAACATAAAGAGAATTAAGTTAATTTAATGTACGTATATACATATGTAGCGAATTCATACCGATTTGTGACTGGCAGCGTTTTGGCAAAGTTTTCTAATATACGCTTTTGTTGGTCCTGTGTGTCTGCATGGAAAATATGTTCAATATCTGTTTCCGGTATGCGCCACTGTGGAGAATGGCGTAGAGATAGTTATTAATATAAGACATGTGGTAATAAATAATATGGGATATTTTAAAATTATAGTTAAAAAAAAGTAAAAACTAAAAACTTTAATTAAACTAGTTTTGAATCTATAGTGAGCTGCTTGTGATTTTTTTTTATGGACAGAGTAAAAAAATTCTCTAATAAAAAAAGAATATATGAAGCATTCAACTCTTTTCTATAATATCAGTTTCTTTTTGCTGTGGTAGATTACTAATTCCTTCGGCGCCATTTAACTTGACGGAATCAGCAAATGAAAAAAAATAAATAAATAGGTTCAGATCGTGCTCTTTTTTTCAAAATATGGTTAATTTTACAAATATAAAAAAATTTGTTGTTTTTATTTATTTAATTTATGAATGTATTAACATATATAACTGCATACCAATGATTAGATTAATTTCAATTTTAATCAAAACATCTCGAATTCATTCGTCACTTCATAATCATTAGCGTAAATTCGAATTTGCGTGTATAAAAGAGATTTCTTTAAATAAATAAATATCAAAACAATCATTTGTTTTATCAACAAAATGTGTATTTTAATATAAATATGACGTCACAGTGGTTAGCCGGTTCTGCTTGTTTAAAGTACATGCATATATAGAAATTAATATGATAGCACACAAAATAAAAATGTACAACGACATCAGCACTGACGTCGCCAATAAGCAATGCGATCTAAGAATTTCAATTCATACGCTTATCAGCATTTCTCCGTACACTAATAACTCTGTGAGTGGCATATATAAGTGCGTATTTTTTTTTTAAATATAAAACACTGACTCAACTGTTTATGCTTCTTCATGCTATATATCAATTACTAGATAATGCCGTTTCAATATGAAGAAACCACCTGTTACAGGAAGCTTGCTAGCGTACCAAACCAACTGTGAAGGTACATTGTACTTAAATGATTGCGATAACGCAAACATTTCAGATAAGAATTGATAACCGTAATATGTAATTGCCCAAAATATTAAAAGTCTATATAGTTGTAATAAATGCGTTGCATTGCTTTGCCTACACTTACATTCGACGGCACTGTACCGACTGGTGTGAATATGGTATTCCAATAGGACCAGAAGAATAGCACACATATTATATGATAAAATATGAGAAATACGATTTGTTCGAAGGTGTTTTCGATGGATACTGTAAAGAGAATTTCCAAATGCAATTGAATTGTTCAGGAAAATTTTTTGAGAAATACATACATAAGCAAAGTTGTACGACATAAGCGTAGTAGGACCATGCAATGACAGCAGCGATGAATATGACTGGTATCCATTTCAGTGCCGACATGCAGCTACCCAAAGCTGTTGATCTTTTACCGTCATTATCATAATTACCCATTGCGACAGGCATGTGAGTTGCAAGTTGCGTAGTGGGGGAAGAGGCTATAGGTTGTTGGCGAAAATTTGCTCGTGCAAAGGCGTAGCAATCATCGAGTTTGGAATTGTTCTCAAAAGCACTTTTTATAGTATGACTTTGGCGAGTATTTGTTGGTTGTAAAAATTAAGGCTTAAGTTATTGCCAACAACTCTAAGCACCGAAAAATAAAATATCTTTATTACACTTAATAGAAATAAACTTCAACTACATCCGCACCACATCAAAATCCGTATATTGGACACTTGTTCAATTCGTTTGCCCAGTCACTGACTAACTGTGCTTATTATTTTCAACAAACCCTCTTAGCCCACCGTTTTGCTACTGTTAACTAGTAAAACTGCACATCGAAATGACATTGTTCCTCTATACCCCAACAACACAAATTATATGCCAAGTTGTCCACTTTGAGCAATTGGCGGCTTTTGTTTTACTCTCGAAACGGAAATAGTTGTTTAGAGTAGTGAAAGTGAAATTAAAGTTTTTCTTTTCCAAATTTTTGTCTTTATGCAGTTCACTATATTTGGTAGAAAAGAAAAACATAACAACAGAGCTGTCAGTTAAAGCGGAATGGTGGAGTAGACCGTTGGACGTTGCCAGGTAAGAAAACAAACACGCTAATTAACCCACTATAAGCGGTTGACTTTTTTTTTAAGAATATCGGTAAGATATACGACTTATGTTTATAATCTTTAGTAATATTTTGCTAAATACGAAATCTAAATAAATGTTAACAAAAAATTTCTCCGACACTTCAAATTTGAATTCTGAAATTATTGACTTTTGAAAAGTTGATTGATTCGATTTATTCATTAAAATACCCATTATTAGGGGGGACATAAGTTCCAATTCTGTAGTAATAGCCGAATCAACCAACAAACAAACGACATACGACAAATTTGAAGATGAGCTCGTCCAAAAACCGCTGCAGCGATTCCAAAGCGCCAAGTATATATAGTCCGAACATCTTTGTAATGAGTAACTTTTTTATAGCTTACGGAAAGTTTTGATGGCGTGCTTTAGTTCTATTGTATTTTCAATATATCGAGCTATTCATAGGCTACCTGCCAGCATGGATGTCTTACATAAAATTACAAATGCTCATAGCCTTCTCGGAATATGGTCTGCCTATAGCTCAAAGCAGGTTAGAACTTTAGCTCTTCTTTTAGTATTTATAAGGAACGTAATACGTTCTTTGGTATTTCTTAGTTGACGATTGTTTTTAAATTTAGAATGGGACACTAGATGTATTTTCTACTTGTGGATCGGAGCCAATAACAGATACGGAGTGAAGTTTGTTCCTTTTCCAACTGATCCTTTTAAGGGAGTGTAGTCCAACTTCATCTTCTTTCTTTAAACCTTGGCGAAATTCGACGGGATGACGGATTTTTGTAGGGAGAGCGGTTTGACTTTTGGAATTTTTTGAACTAACACTTTCGATGTCTAATTTCAAACAACGTACTTATGGTTTGTGGGTTTCCGCCCATAAGCTCTGGTACTAAGCGGTCTCTAACAATTAAATAGTTTTTATGACATTTTGAGGCATTTTCTTCTTCTACTTCAACATGATGAAACACCAAAAGTTTCTTTTACTTATCCTTAGCATACAGTTTATGCAACCCTGCAGCACCAACATACAATCGCATACAACATTGTTAAAGAGAACGTATTGCAGATAAGTGAAGAGAGCGAACGTGTGCCGGCGCTGAGCGAGTGCGCCCCAAAACGCTTATGGGGGAGCCGTAAAAAAGTATACAAGACGAATTGGGTTGCGCAAAGTTGAGTCGAAGTGAAACCGTTGCCGAGTACAGTGAATTAAAGTAAATGATCGGAATTTCGCTGAACGAAACACTCATCAAACGTATCAATTTCAAATAAAAAAAATGTAATTTCTTTCATAAAAACCCGTTAATTTCAAATAAGAATGAATGAATGAAAAGTGTTTTGAAAAATGCTATAAGTGTTATGAAATATCAAATGAATGCGTGCCATAACGCTTGAATTAATGATAAAATTCGATAATTGTACAAAAAAGCAACAATACAATTTTTTTTTCATACACTTTACCCAGCGATATTGCAAAAGGCTGCTACTACTACCAGACGCAGTCAGTCTTCGGATTCGTGTACGAGCGCGAATGTACGTTAGTGCGTGTGTATGCTTCTTTAGGCATATGCATTTACGATTTATGTATGTACATACATATGTACATATGTACCTCTGTGTGTACCTTTGCCGTGTGGAGCATAGCATAGTGAACGAACTAACGTGCCGAGCATTTCATATGCCTGCATTTGAAGTTTGTCAGTTCGTGCGTTTGCATACCTAGCAGCTCTCTCTCTAACTTGAACGCCCCCCACCGCCACCTCCCCATAGCCAACCAACACGTACTTCATGCGATACAACGAAAGGTGAAATGTGATAAAAGAGAGAGATACTGACGAGATAGCGTGTGAGAAAACGGAGCGTTGTTGATTTTTCGGTGACCGCTTCAACTAGAATAACGATAACGGCGATAAGATTGTTTGCACGCTTGCTTTCTTCATCAGCACGCTGGCTCTCTTCAACACGTTTGGCTGTTCGCCCATTTACCTCTCTTACCTCCCGCTATCGCTGCCTACAAAGCTAAAAACGACTGTGCTTATGATAGAAAATAAAAAAACGGTGCAGGTGCTTACCACCCTATCTCTTGACTAGTGAAAAAGATGGAAAAAAAAATTTGAAAAAGTGATAAAAGCCCCATGAGTTTTTGAGGGTCTCAGTGGCATTGATAAACTACACACACACAGAGACACACACACACACACACAAACACATAAACGATGAACTTGACAGGACGTTCATGTCATGTGCGCCTCTTCACTGAACTGCTGAACTGCCTGCGAGTTGGTGGGGGTGCTCGCTAGTTCTGATGGCCGCTTCTTCCATTAAACTACTCGCATATGATTGACCTAGCAAAAAAATTTATTGATTATTTCAATGTAGCGGCGCATTGTGAAAAGTCTTGCGCCGTCTCAACGAACCAAAGCCCTTCTCATGCCGCTTTTTTCACGTTTCATACTTTTCATATGAAAAGCCGGCTGCCGTGCGGTTGACTGTTACATACTCGTACATACACGTATATACATAAATACTAAATTGATTGTGGTAATGTAAATATGTATGTATCCACATTTTGCATGGCTCATAGTCCAATCTACTCGTCGCAGCATTTCGTACGAATATAAGTTGTTGCTGCTCTATGAGATGTGCGCGTAAGGTTATGATGATTGTTTTTGTTGTTGCTACTTTTAGAGTTGGTGGTGATGGTGGTCTGGTCTGGTTTGGTCTGTGTGCGCTACTATGCTGCTGCTGCCACTGATGATGATGATGATGATGAAGATGATGATGATGAGCTATTTGGTAGCTGGCATGAGCGCGTTGCTCTCGGTCTTCGTCGCACGACTTGTTGCGATTTCCTTTCACTACCCAGCCGTACGTCCTACCTATGGCAGTCTGTATACAATTTTACATAAATAAATGCATATGCATACATACGTACATTTACGACCACATATATATATTTTTTTCATACACACATTGGCTGCGTCTGCGGCGTCTGCTGCCGATGCTGATGAACATTTGTAACGAACGCATGAGCGGAAATTATCGCTCATTCATTTTCGTTGCTCGACCACATGTCGGCGGGTGTTCAGGATCAGGCTCTACTGCTACTCTTGCGCTCGCTTCATACACTCCACTGCTCACAATTCAGCAGTTGGTTGTTTATCAAGTTTACATTTTTGTGGAAAATCAATTCGCCAAGTGTTGTGCTGTGCGCGGCGACGATAGGCAGTGATTTGTTTTTACCTGTCTATTAATATAATATTATCGAGCTTCATGGCCAATTCAATGGATATCTATCTACTCGGTGGTTTTGTGAACAAATAGTTTCTGGGATTGATTGTTCGTTATATATGTATGTAGGTAGTTGAGATAATTAGTAGAGAGTGGAGAGAATATACAATTTCTGACGATTTCTGGGAGTTTAAATGCAAAAAGTTCGGTGAAAGTTTATGATGTGATATGGAAAATATGTAAAATCGAAACAAAATATTGACACAGACACCGCTTACGCGATAAAAGCCGAGTTAACGACAGCAGAGCCCATCGAAGACACCAAATGAGGTCAGGTTCATCTCCAACTGACCTTTCCAATACATTTGAGAACTTCTCCTTTCTCTGCATCTAACGCTTTCCAACGGAGAGCATCTTTCTCCCGAAAACTCCCGACTCATCAGATGTCGTCATAGTTCACGCCTACGCACCATATAGCATGACGGGCATAAACTGCACAAATTGGTCTATATTCGTCGAGATAGGACAGGAATGTGTCTGCATTGAATTTCAAGGCTGGCATTGTTGTTGATAGTCTACAGATAGACGAAATAAAGTCAAAGTTATGTCAACAGTGACTTGGGAGGGGAGCCAATGCATGCATGCGCCGACTGTTTGTTTTACGACAGCAGATAGTTCGACAAGCTTTCGTTGCTTCATAAAAGATGCAGATTTTTTCGTAGTGACAGGAAAGAGAGTCCCTCTGTATGAAACATCGCTCGGTACCGAACGGCTCAATGAAGTTCTTCCCGATCCTGACGAAGCTCTTGGTGTTGCTCTGCGTCAGTTTGCATAGCCGTATAAGTTTAACGGTGTTATTAAGTTAAGATAGAGTGTCATAGTGACAGCTGCTTTTTGTGATTTGAAATCGCCGCGATCTATCGCTCCTTTTTAGTCGATCGTTTCTTTTTTACAAATCCTTTGCTTTCTCTGATTTGGCGCACGGTGAATGTTAGGACTGTAACCATACTGTTAAGATCCAATCATCTTGTTAACGGTGGTGCGACGCTCGATTGTGGCTTTTATGCGATTTTGGGGAGACTTATCCCACTATAATTGGCGCATATTATTGGATCGTTCTCTACGTGGTTAGGGGAGAGCACACTTAGATTCCAATCTTCAGTCAAGTAAAGAAGTTTATGTATGCCTTGTCTGTTCTTCGCTACGTAATCCGCCGCTTTGTTTCTCTTCGGGTGAGCAATTGCCAATTGAACTTGTGCGTAATCCAGAAATGGAACTTCAAAATCATTCTCATCGATTAGTGTTTCGGGTTCGCCATCTCCTGGTGTTCAGTTTTTCTTTTACACGTTAAGCAGACAGTGTTCTCTACATAAATTCAGTATACTCTAAGTGTCATACGCTAGATCATCTCTTGGGGTTCTTCATGAGTATGCTCCGGTCTTGTATCATACATCGTTGGACATCGTTGACATAGCCAAGGCGATAAACCATAATCGATCGTTTCGAATGGCATGTGACAGCAGCTTGTTGAAACCACATACTCTCCAAGTAGTGCTCTTCAATTCCAGGCAAAAAAATTGTCGGTTATCATTCCCCTAAAACGGTTCAAATTGACCTTGACAGTCACGCTCTTGTCGTCTTCAAAGAAGTAAGGTCCAATCACACCTCCGGGTCAAAAAGCGCAACAAGCAGTAAGTTTTTTTGGGTGCAATACACACTCTTCATATATTTGAGTATTTGCGAAACACCAAAGGTGACTGTTTTGCCGATTTACCTTTCCCCTTGTAGTTTTGAAACCACGAAATGAATACCCCTATATTGTATTATATAATATGTGTATATATAGTGTAGTGGGCTGCCAATTTTCGAAGAAATTCGGACTTTATTATCACACTAATAGGCCTATTCTCACTGTTACTGGTAAAGTAAATTTTGTTACTTTTCTTTAACACCAGAAATTGAATTTGGTATTCTGGCGAACTGGTTACAATGTTTGAAAAAAATTTGGCAGCACTGCTTTTCTCGTTCATGTCAAATTACATTTGCCAGTTGATAAAGTAAAAAGAAAAATATTCACATCGAAATGGAAGACGGCGCACAAAAAAATTAAAAAGTTTTAGTAATTTGTTTATTAAATCATAAATATTTGAACCTTATTATGGAAAATATGCCTGGACAACAAAAAAAGCTGAATGAAAACGTTATCTAACAAATTAAAGGGCTATTTTTTGTCTCGAAAACTTCTTAAAATACGGCTTTTTGCACTTTTTTCTTCATCTTCAATGAATTCCAGGCCTAAAATATGCCTACCCATTTTGGTTTTTTTTTTTTTCTAAAACTAACAACACAAAATCAAACAGCAGATATTTTTGTTACCTCCCATTTCGCTGGTAACAAAATTTACAGGGTAACAATGAGCTCAGAATACGAAATGGTAACAAAATTTACTGAATGGTAAATTTAGTTACCTCGACAGAATAGGCCTGTAAATGATAAATTTTCTGCTAATTTCATTTTTTTTTAAACAAAAAAGTTGAAATAATTTTTGTTTAAATATCCGACACTTATAGCATTTTAATTTATTAAAAAAACGGTGTATTTAAAATAAGCATAAGGAGAAATTAAGATACTAAAATATTCAACGTAATAAAAAGTGTTAAGTGAAATAAAATATATATTTGAAAATTAAACATAACCTACAAAAATATTTTTGAAGTTCTAAACAAGAAGAAAAAAATTCTATATTAATTAAAAAAATAATATTATATATTTACATAAATGTATGAAATATTATTAATAAGCTTACTGTGCTTGTTAGAAAATGAGTAAAAAATAAAAACAAAAATAATTAGTGCCAAAATAAAATATTGCAAATTCGTTTGCTTTGTTGTTATTTAGCGACATGTCGTCAATTCAGTTTAATTTTTTTTACTCTTTTCATAAAACCTTGTTGTTTTTAGTGCATGAAAAACTCAATTAAATTTCTTTATTTTATTTCCAGTGATAATCACTTCCAAGTGTTGCCAGTTCGTCGTACATACAAATGTATGTATATTATATAACATCCCATTTTGGTATAACAATAAAAATTTAAAAATCAATAAATGCTTCAAAAAAGCAGCAAAATCAAAAGTGTTTAAAGTTTCATTAAAAAAAAAAGATTACATATATATATATATAATATATACTTGCTATACTTATAACTTACTTGGCTGTGTGTGTGCATATCACTTTTGTATAGTTGTGTGCATGACATTGCGCTTGATAACCTCGAAAGTGTATTGAATAACAACAAACAAGCAAAAGCATAAAAAAATAACAAAAAAAAAAAAACAAAAAAAAAAAGAATCAACAAACAATCAATTAAACCCAAAATCGTGTAGTGAAAATAGTAAATAAATAGTGTGCGAATATTTGTATGTGTGTTCTAAGCGCGTCATAGAGTGACAACTTTAAAAAAAAAAAAAGAAAGATTAGAGCTATCTTAAGGAATTTCAACGCGTTATCTTCTCCAATCAGCGCAATCAATTTTTTTCTAGCAAAATCAATCGCGTTAAAAACAGGTAAGTGGATATTTATAGAGCGTAGAAAATAAAATAATATCGTTGAGTAGAATTTGTGGCTATGTGTGTGTATGTGTGTGATTGAGTGAAAATCGCTAAAATATTATCTGTCGGCGGGGACTAGTTTTTTCACACGAACCGATGGCCCTCCAAATCATTTTGGATCCGTCGAAAAAGCCAGTCGAAAGGAGCAAGTTCTGGAGCATACTGTGGGTGAAGTAAGGCCCACAAAATCAACGTATCCAGACACTTTTTGATTGTTATCGCCACATGGCGCTGACGTGGTCATGTTGCAAAATCATCTTGTCCTGCCTTTCGGTCGTTTCTAGCTACGGTTCAAACGCATCAGTTGTAGTCGATAATGTTTCGTATAAATAAATGGTTTCGCCTGGTCGGTATGGGTCTTGATGCAGTAAAGTCTCCAAATCATCATCTTCAAACTTTTTGAAATTACCAGGACACTCTTTGTCTTCGACGCTGAAAACACCATTTTTGAGGCTTCGAAACCACTCTCTGCCCGACTTATCGGCCGGTGCAGATTCACCTTAAACTTAGAAGTCATAGCTATTCAATAAAGCTTCACATAAGAGAGAAGAGAGAGAGGAGAGAGAGAGGAGACTGAGAGGAGACTGAGGAGAGAGAGAGAAGAGAGTGAGAAGAGAGAGAGAAGAGAGAGAGGAGAGAGAGAGGAGAGAGAGAGGAGAGAGAGAGGAGAGAGAGAGGAGAGAGAGAGAGGAGAGAGAGGAGAGAGAGAAAAGAGAGAGAAGAGAGAGAGAGGAGAGAGAGAAAAGAGAGAGAAGAGAGAGAGGAGAGAGAAAAAGAGAGAAGAGAGAAGAGAGAGAGAGAAGAGAGATGGACACAAAGAGAGATATTGCGATGTTCAGATCTTTTGAGTATATCTTCGTACCCACTTCGCAATACATTTTGGACCTATCGATATAGACTGAGATGATATCTACTGTATAGATAGATTCCTCATTCACGTCTAGAACAACCCACTTGAAAGCCACTATTGGGCCACATCCTCGAGAGGATATAGTCTAATTTAGGTAGAGATATTCTGAGCTGGCCCGGAACTCTCAGTTTTCTCGCAATTCAAACTCATTACTCTTTTACTCACTTTCGTTCTTTTAGGTTGACGCTTGTTAAGTAAAACTTTTCAGAAGCTTTTAAAGCTGCACGTTCGCTTATTTCACATTTGTTGTTATTCCTTGCTTTTATACCTTTTTGTTGTTAAATGTAAAATTCTATTGTTGTTTTTGTTGTTATTGTGCTCAAATCCCTACCGTCACTGCAAGTTGAAAGAAACCAACGAACAAAGCAGAAAAACTAAACCATGAGAAATGCGGAAGCAGCGGAAATGGAAAGTGGAATTTCACGTCTTTCCACTTTCAGCGAAAAAAGTAAGCTGCATTTAGGCGCTAAAAAAGTGAACGTGAATCTCGTATAGAGGATTTAAAGCATGAAGCATGTGTTTATATAACTCTGCCAAGGCTTTATGCTGCTCTTGCGCTTTTACGCGCCGATTTCCCTCCTCAAGGGTGTGGCTGTAACTCTGCCTTACCTTAGTTTTCTCGTTTTGTTGTATTATATCAGTTTATTATGGGCAATTCTCCACCAATAAAATGGGCTATCAATTGAGGATCTTTGAAATCAAGTCTTTTCGTATTTTTCGATATAATTCATTTTTTGATCGCCCTAAATTCGAGTTTCCGTGAGGAGCCAGCATATTTTAAATGCCTCCGCTAACTGAGCAAACTACTTCTGGGTATGGGTTTAAGTTACAGCATTTCCACCATGGATTATTGGTTGATTGAAAGAGGGATGTTAAGGGGTTTTCCGCATCTAAGCCAGTGCGCACTTTCTTTGGGAATGCCCCGAACTTTGGAAAAGTAGTCTGAAGTCTCTAGGGGCGGCAACCTTTGAAGACCTGAGCAAGATAGGAGGGCTAAGATGCGGCAACTGCTCAGTTTTGCAATCTGAGAGTCTTTAGGATCCTCAGTGCTATCCCAATGGGCCCGTTTGGAGCCTAGGTGTGCCGATGCCCGGCAGTCACTTCAACCAACCAAGCTCATGTGCGAAGTGTTGGTTAGTTTCTATAAATCTTTTAAGTTTCTTCCAACCATGCGTGTCGTCTTCCTCCATGAAGTTGGAGCGGGGGGTGTTGTGGAAGTTGTGATGTCTTAATTGGCTGAAGGCCAGATAATCGCAAAGTGGTGCTAAAGCGCCTCGTCATTTCTATGCATGCTCTGCACACAGCCGGTTCTTCCTTACCTAGCTGCGAGAGATGATATCTCAGAGGTAGATGCTCCTTTGATTCCAGTATAACAATAACAATTAAAGGCGTTGAAGGGTCTGAGGCAGTTGGTGGTGAGCTAGTTTGTCCACTATTGAGGGAGTACGTGACCTTTACCTGGCAAAAGGCTTCTGTTTTACGTTTGCATGCGGCCCTGCACTTCACAGCGCTACTTCATACAACACCTGCTTATTAATGGCCTTATTTCAAGTATGAGTTCTTTGTTAAGGTAGTCATCATCGCGCCTGCTAGACGAAAGTTACGGGTACCTTGTACCGATTCCAAGGGCTCAACACAACTCTCTTTTATCTATAAAAGTCCTAGTCGGAATGTTGTTCTTTAAATAGGATGACTAGATCGTCCGCATAACATACTACCTTAAAGTAATCCGGTATGATAAGTTGGAGCTGTATCAAAGTGATTCATAATAATGAATACAGGATGCCTCCTTGTTAAGTGGAGTACTGTGGAGCATGCTGCTTACATAAAAATGACATATTTTGTGGTCATCCTAGAAATAAATACAAATTTTCTCTGGAAATAACCTGTTGGTTTAGTAGCCTCGATTACATTTCGATGCAATACTTACACCCCTAATTTGGTACCGTTGCAAAATTTTCGTGAATTTCTATTGGGTCTGAGTAACACAATACCAAATTGGTTATGTGAGTTGAGAGACTGGGAGGCTTTTGTTAATTCTGGAACTCTACCGGATAGGAATGACATCGTCGGTGTTTCAGATCGAGTCGGCAGGCATATACTGACTTTCGACCTCTTCGAATTTTTAAAAGTATTTCCTTTATGACTTAGGATCTCTCAGTTTTTGATGTTGTGTTAAAAGAACTTCCACAGCCGAAACAATTGTTCCTAACGCTGTTCTTCAGTTCCGGAAATTCACCAATAGCTTTGAGTGTAAGACAGATGCGAGAGTGAGTAACATTTCCACTCAAATGGACTCTCAAATTTTCTGAGGGTCAGCTTTTCACTAAAGGCCACGCTTTAACTTCGTGCTCTCGCATCCCCCTGCGCACTGCTGGTAAAGTTTGTCGGAAATCACCTACTCCCACTGCAGCAATTCCATCAACTGTGCGGTAGCACTCTAAGGCCACATCATATTTGCTTCTTATTTTGGTCAACAATAAATTTTGGAGAAAAGTCTTATCTATTCCGCCGGGAGCTTTCAAAAAAAGGATATCTCCAAACTTTGCTTCAATACTTAAAATTATTTATTTTGTAACATAAAACTTTCTGTTCCTTTGTTAGGGAGCCTTCACTACTTACTGGTATCACAACAGCCCAGAACGATGTTTGTTTCGTTTGGATCAATCCCAGACCTACTTATCGGAAGGAAAATAGCTCCCAACCGTAATTTCGGCTCAAAGCTATAAGCTGTAAAAACAAATTTTCGAATAGATCGGTCCAGAGTCCGCTTCCCTGAAGAAAAACTGTTTCACATGTCCATTTAGGCACAGAGTTACTTGTGTGCCAAATTTCAAGCGAATGAAACGATTTAAAAATAAACTCGTTTTTTAGAATATATCCCAGATTCACTTATTGGAAAATATTTTCTCATGGGACGCCTTTATCGTATGCAGAACACTTTCCCAAAGTTTCGGGTCTCTGTGATCACTGGTTTCTGCTATGGGCTGATCCGTCAGTCATTTAGGACAAAACCCTTTATGTAGGTATAGTAAAAAGAATTCCATTATTTTTCCAAAATATGGCGTTATTTGTCTGTATCTCGGGTTCCGAACGATGACATCTCGTATAGAGATTTTTTAATTGTTCCGACAACTTCAAATTTGCGCTTTTTCCTTTTTCCTCCACTTCCGCTTCCTTATGAACTTCATGCGATTGTTATTGTTATGTCGGATATCAAACTCCACTTATGAGCAGGCACGATCTGTCAAAGTTATCGAGGTACAACAAGATGTTTTTCCAGGTAGTATGAGTTATTCGACTTTCTCGGCTTACATTCTGGTCAAATTATGCATCGATTTGTGAGAGAACAAGTTTTGGTACCAATCTTAACGCGATCTGCTTGTAGTTCCCACCAATGCTCTCTCTATGCTGAGGTATTTCCTGCAGTCTTCTGTACCGTCTGTTTTGAAGAGCGCCATTTTCTCGAAAGACATTTCATCAAGCTCTCTTCACGAGAAATGTCGCCTAAAATGTCGGCTGCCAAACGCGTCTCAGTTATCACAAACGAATGCGGATTGTTTCAAATAAGAGACTCTGTGCCAACTAAAAAAAATTGCGTAGACTTTTTTACTTAAGTTTCAATTTGCCATCTTTCAAATGCATGTGCGCATTAACGGTTTTATTTAAAAGTTTCATAACTTAAATTTACAATATTTACTCCTGCCCTTTTATGCAGTCTAAATCTAGTTCGTTGCGCATTTTGTTTTTTTGTTTTTGGTTCATTTTAAATTTATTTAGCCAAAAACCATGCAACGACGTCGCGGCAGAGCAGCAGGCGACGGACGTCGAGATGTCGGCAAATGAGCTGAACATTACCGAAAGCAAATTATAATTTACGAGCTTCCGAGCTGCAACATTTCACTTGCAAACATATCTACAGGTATACATATTCATGTTAGTAGCTATGTATGTACTTTCGGACATACTTATGTATGTATGTCTGCTTATTCATTTACGGTTTGAGTCGCTGGTGCTAGCGCTGCTGCAGTTGCTGCTGCTGTTG